GCCCCCTGCTGCTGAACAGGAGCAATAAGACTGAACCGGGTTCTCCCTGGGTGTGGGAAGGAGTTAATCCAGCAGTAGATTTGGACGCAAAGGCTCGCACGTGTACAACCTTGGTGGGTGCGTATCGTACAGCGTGGTTCAAATGTCTTGTGACCCCCCAATTAATTTTCTAAAATGTAATGTATATATATTTTTAAAGCAAGATTTAAAACAGGAATGAATATGAAAAGGAACTAAAATGTTAGGGGTCAATTATGTTAATTGGGGGTCACGATACATCTGGACCACACTGTACAGTAATGTATTGTATTTAAGCACGTGGATAGGCCGTTGAGATTAATGACCATAATGTCTAATTCGGATTCCATTTAGACTTTAACCACGCGTGAGTGTGTTCAGATGCAAGTCCTTTATTCAACCAGGCTTGAGCACATTCCGGTTGATCTTCTTTATTTATTTAACCACGTGGGAGCAGCAACATTGAGATAGTACATTAATGCAGCACAGCGTCCTTCACTCATTTTCATGGATGGCGGAAGGGGGGCCACTTTTGCCGATAGGACATCATCAGCTGCGTGAGGGCCTCCACACCATTTCAAACCATTGCGGGTTGTGGCACAACACGACGACGATGATGATGATGATGGGGCGGGTGTTTTCACTTTTGTCCATTGTCGGGGTGAAGCACGTCAGAGAGGCCGCACTAAAGGAAACCAGTGGCCCGCAGGCCTTGCAATTGTAGTGTTCGATTTCACTCAGACAACTTCTGTCTTTCTTCGAACACCGCTTTATTTACAGCTCTCAGCATGTCCTTAATAATCCACAGTATCCATGTCGCCACGGCTCGCTCGCCGTGCTTCACTCGACTCGCTCACCACCTTTGTCTCTCCACTCCCCCACGATCACTTCGCTTACTCCGCCGCTAACTTCTTCGTCTCCGCTATCACCGTCGCTATGCTCTCTCCACTGCTAACTACTTCGTCTCCGCTCTCCGCTATCACCATCACTACGCTCTCTCCACCGGTAACTGCTTCGTCTCTGTTCAGCTTCGCTATCGCTACGCTCTCTCCACCGCTGGCTGCTTCTCTTCATCAGCTCCGCTATCGCTACGCTGTTTCCAAGCTCCGTCTCCAACTCCGTCTCCCAAACTCTGTCTCTCCAACTCTCTGTCTCCAAGCTCTCCATACTTCAATTCCCCGCTGTTGACTCTAACCTCAATTTCCCCCCCCCCCCCCCCGCTGTTCACTCCAAGCTCTCCAACTTCAACAACCTTCTCCAAGCTCTCGCCACTCTTCAACTCTCCGCTCCAATTGCCGACTCCCCCAATTTATCCCCGCTCTCATTACTCCACAATTAATTAACCCGCGTCCCAAGGGCACTGCGCGTGCCCCGTACACTTGTTACCTCGCCAGACTTCAAGACGCCCCTCCAGCCTTGTCAACAGCACCAACCAATCCCAGCCGTCCTTGGCTCTCCCAGCTTAATTGCCCTAACATAACCTGCACTGTATTTGCCTTCGCTACAGGCTGACCCAACATAACCCGTACTACTGTCTGTGTTATCACGTAATGACACGCTGTTTGCACTACGCACCTTCCTAGTCCACTACACAATGAAGAACACTGGCCCGAGTGTTGTAAAGTCGGCAAAGGTGGAGCCCTGCAATTGCTTGCCCACGCTACTGCCGGCGGATGAGTCTCCACGTGGACGACCTCTCAGTTGGTCTTCCACCCTCACCAGACGTGTGAGCAGAGGCAGGGAGTCCTCATAGCCGTCAAACCCATGCGGTTTAGTCGAATTATCGCACAGGGAAATTGAGTTTTCAGGTCCATACGGCGTACAGCCATTTCAAAAGGCGGCCAAACATTTGTTTGGTCCAATTATTTGCCTTTCTCATTTGTGGTGGTGGTGGGACTTTGTAGGATGAACGTCGAGATTTATAAGGGGCAACGGGGTGACCAGTAAGGTCTAAATTGGTCTGTAATAAGGTAGGGGGCACTGACAAGGGGCTGACGGGTGTGAGTTTAGGAGTGACCATCACGAAGTCCAAAGCGATGTCCCCCCCCCACCACCTACATTGAGCAGCATCGAGACATTGGTGCTCATCTCCCGCGTACGGCCTCGAGCCAGTGTTGGAAATTCCACATTCCTATGGCGGGGAACGATACGATCCATCACAACCCACCGATGATTGGGCTGAGCCACCTGCTATCCGTGGTAGTAGTAATAATAAAATAGCAGGTCGTGTAGGCTACGGGGTAGAGAACGACAACGCTGTACAGCGACACAACGCAAGTCGGGACCGTCTTCACCAACACAGGTTGACCAGCGTGGTGACCAATAAGGTTCTGAATTGGTCGATAATGTAGACACTGGGAAGGGCTTGACAGGTGTGAGTCGCCTGTACAAAGATAAAGATCCCCACCCCCCCCCCCCCCCCCCGTGTAGCCTTAACAGACTATTGGGGCAAGTGCTGTTTAGAGAGTGGCACGGCACACGAAGGGGATGGGGTTGGTCAGTCAGCACCACGCCCGGTCCGCCTTTGTCTCCCTCGTGTGCGATGTTTACACACCGCACCGGGTACGATGTAGAAAATACGTGGCACGCTTGCCGCTTGCAACGTTTGCGTGAACATTTAAAATGCGCTCGCTCGCGCGTTTTGCGAATTCCAAAGCTCTCCCGTCGTACGCGTGCGCACTGGGAAATGTTAAAAGTCGACGATCCCGCCGCGCTTATCCGCGCTACCAAATAAACACGGAGGGAGCGGTGGGCGCAATGGTTAGCGCGCCGCGCTATTGAACCCCCCCCCTCCCCCCCCAAGCAAAAAACAAAATCCCGAGTTCGATTCCCGGCCACGGCCAATAATCAGTGGCTGGTGATAAGCCTGACACCGGTTCCTACGCTTTCCCCTCCCCTTCACCAGTGCGCATTAGACCGGTGCGGTGAAGTATGGCCAAAACGGCGTGGGAAGGGAGGCCTTTCATCCAGCAGCGGATTTGTGAAAAGGATGTTTAGTGTAGCAGCGATTGCATTTCATCGCTGAGTTCACGATTAACGTCGTTGCTGTGCGTAAGTCGAGAGAGAGAGAGAGAAAAAGTTTGGAATCGAAAAAGACATCCGATGTTACATTTAAAGCTTTCGTGACTGCTAGGATCCATACTCTTTGGTTCTATTGGGTAAAGTCACGTAGGTGACTTTACCCAATAGAACCAAAGAGTATAGACATCCGATGGTTTTAACGCCCCTTCGTTAATCCGCTGCTGGATGACGGCCCACGCCGTGCCAAATCGGGGGGGGGGGGGGGGGGATGACTGATTTAACCATACTTCACCACGCTGGTCAACCTGTGTTGGTGAAGACGGTCCCGACTTGCGTTGTGTCGCTGTACAGCGTTGTCGTCCTCTACCCCGTAGCCTACACGACCTGCTATTTTATTATTATTACTACTACCACGGATAGCAGGTGGCTCAGCCCAATCATCGGTGGGTTGTGATGGATCGCATCGTCCCCCGCCATAGGAATGTGGAATTTCCAACACTGTCTCGAGGCCGTACGCGGGAGATGAGCACCAATGTCTCGATGCTGCTCAATGTAGGTGGACAATCGCTTTGGACTTCGTGATGGTCACTCCTAAACCCACACCCGTCAGCCCCTTGTCAGTGCCCCCTACCTTATTACAGACCAACTCAGACCTTACTGGTCACCCCGTTGCCCCTTATAAATCTCAACGTCCATCCTACAAAGTCCCACCACCACCACAAGGGAGAAAGGCAAACAAACAAGACAAACTATGGTGGTGGTGGCTTTTTTTATGCCCACATTGACTATTGAAAGGGCTGTACGCCGTATGGACCTGAAACACTTAATTTCCCCGTACAATGACACGGAGTTATACACCGTACGGGGTTGACAGCTGTGTTTAAAACCAGGCTCGGGTTTTTTTTCCCTGCTTAGCTTCCGAGATGTCGCAGGAACGTTTGGCCACGTTAAGCCTCGGAGCCAAAATTGTACAGTGATCGTGGACGGAGCGCATACCGTCTATGAATTTCAAATGCATCCGTCTTCCGTAGCTTATCCGATGTGTGGAATCTAAATCAAGCTTGACCACGCGTCGAAATACAAAGGCTGCGCTTATGCGATGTGGGGATTTAAGACGTTATGTCCTATCAAGTTTAGCATTTTTAAACAGCCCGGCTTACATCAGTTATCTGCTGTGTGGATTGATACTTGTACAGCCGCGTGTCAATCCACTGCTGGATGAGGGGCCGTGGGGGTCGTTGTTTAACCACCATACTTCACCGCGCCGGTCACTGCAATCTGAAGTCCGATTAATGACGCTTAAGCGCACTGCAAAATCAAGTTACGCCTATCAGGTGTACGAATTCTTATCCCTTCCTATCACGACTACGAATTTAAAACCATGTATTGTATGTGTTTTTTGTGTGTGTGCGGCGAGGATTAATTTCAGCCGGATCCCAACACGAAGAATATTCTTCAGCACCCGGTACAACAACATCCTGTATCACTGGTGCATTATGGAAACAAATTTACTTGACGTTGCTTGGGTAGGGCAGTTGTGCCCAACCCAAAAAAGCCGAAATGTTCGTCAATAACAACGGATGTGGCTTTAAAATGGGAAAAAACAGGCGACGTTTCGGGCAATGGTTCTTAAAACACATAAATTACTCTACCTCTCTGGTCTCTCTATGTGCAGTAACGAGTGGTCACACCCCGAAACTTTGCCTATTATATATTCCTTAAGGCATTCCCATTGATGAATGTATTGTGGTTGTTTTTTACCCCGTGCTTGGAAATTAACCCACATCCAATCTCGTCTACGAATTAAAAACACCTATCATCCTCCAGTAACTAATCTAGTCTATGAAATCCAAATCCACATCTAATCACCAAATCTCATGCTCTGTAGCCCCCCCCCCCACTCTCGCGAGACTTCCTGGGGGGGGGGGAAGGACACATGTCCCCTCCCCCTCCCCACTATGGCCCCGCCCTCTCTTCGACAGCCCCTCCCCTCCGGCTGCCAAGACGCGGAGAGCAGGGGTGGCCTCCGCAGCTTCCGTCGCCTCGTGCCGTTTTCCATCTTTTTCACAAGCTACGCGCCCGCTCAACCGGGCCACAACCCTTCGCCGCGATGAGTCTGGAGCAACAGGCGAGTGCGGCCGCGGCGCGCGGGGTTCGGAGGGCAGGGGAGCGGCGAGGCGGCGACGGCTGCCGAAAGCCGAGCCGGGGCCTGGGCCTCTAAGATGGCGGCTGAGGCCTCGAGGGTTGCGGGCGGGAGGGAGGGAGGGGGTGGAGGGGCGGGGGGAGAGGGGGACCGGCTCGGGAAGGGAGCCCCCCCCCCCTCTCTCTTGCTTGTTTCCACGCCCCCTGCATTCCTTTAGCTCCGCCCCACTGTTGGCTTGGCTCCGCCCAGCTGGCCCCATTTGGTTTTTTGCCGCCTCGGTCGTCGAGTATGCTCCGCCCACTCGCGCTCTTGCGATTGGACGGCGTCACGTGACCAGGGTGAGGGGGGCGGGGATCAGGGCGTGTCACGTGGTTGAGGGTGTTCTGGGGCTGAAGCAGTGTGGGGGGGGGGGTGGACGACATCAATTCAAATAAAACTCCACACATTCGTCAAGAGCACTGTCTTAAAATAACTTAAGGGATAAGAGGCACGTAAAAATAATTCATGATCATTTTTTTGTAAGTCCCCCCCACACACACACACATTACTGCCGTTATTGAGGAATGTGTGTGTGTGTGTGGCGTTCATTGTTCACTCTCCCGCACCCATTGCCAGCCCAAGCGCATCGGCCCAAGTAAATCGCCGTGTTTCCTTTCGAAGCACTGCAAAGGGCAGGGAAGAGACCCTCGGTGGGGAGGGTTGGCTAAGCGTTAAAGGTGGGACGACGGAAGAAGAAGCATCGCGGGCAGGGTGACATCTCTCTCGCGTTGGGAGAGAGCGGAGAGGAGGGGGGGGGAGCACAAAATGGACGCGGCGGCTTAGTTGTAACAGGACCTCAACCACCGTAACAATGCGTCGTCTAGATTTTAGGGTTAGGTTTACTGGTATTGCAATGCCGACGTAAACTTGACTTAATTCTACAAAATGGGACCTTTTATGATACTGGCAATAAGGTCCCATTTCTTTTTTTTTTAACTAACTGCTTACCCCGAGCTCTAAATGGTCGGAAAGTGCATTGTCTTTGTACTGTCCGTCTTTTTGGCGTTCTCTGTGGTCTGTGAGACTAGGCCATTGAAGTCTCTGGTGTCGGACAATCAGTTTCAAAGACAATGCCATGTAGCGGTATAATGAGAGCACGTTTGTTTGCATGTTCGCCACCAGTACTGCGTGTGATTAATGCACTACCTTGCCAAAGGTTTCTATTTGGTTTTTGAACATCTTAACACAACTGTTGTTATTGCCATAAAGTGTCGACACCTATTCTTATTTTTTTAATACCTAAACTCTGCACGGCTGCGTACATTAAACGCACGGGCCAAAGCCAAACCCGTCTATGGAATACGGTGCAATGATGTGCCACGTACGATTTTTTTTAATACAGAGCGATCCATTTTTAGATGCCCCACTAGAATAGTACCGTTACTAATGTATATGGAAAACTTTTTTTATGCACATCGTCTACATTTATCAAAGTTCGCCAATGTCAACACTTCACTGTCTGCTGCTCTCTCGCTCTGATGCGCTTCGTCTAGCAAGCGGTTGTGCAATTTGCCTGCAAGCGTTCCGATGATTGATTTAGCCTAAAGTAGTCGAACTCGGTTGGGGTATCTATAAATTACCAAATAAATGAGCCACGTCTCATTTTTATACGTCCCTCCACATATACAAGTAACATACGCAGCCCACATTCGGTGTCTCATCAGCAGTCGGCTTGCTTAAATCAATGAACTACCAGATGTTAATCGGCAAGGACTCGTTAATATACGGGTTGATGGTAAGTGGGAAAAATACTGTTTTATGTTTTTTACGTGGACGGACAGATAAATGAAGTTGATATATTTCGGCCTATTTATTTTGTTCTTTTAATTCGTTAATTATTATTTTGTGTTCTCTGTAAATGTATCGATCACCCAGTACAGTATTTGGTTATTAGTCCTTATGGGTCCTGATGAATGTTATCAACAGTTTGCTTAAACTTAAAAGTGTAAAAAAAATTCTAACAAGGTGCTTTTTTTTACAAGACAGAATGTCCATATTTTATTATAATAGTTTTGACCAAAGCTTTTTAATATATCAGCTGCTTAGAGATGAGCTATAATTCTGAAATACATTATACACGTCGTGTGTGTTGGAGTAAAGTGTGTGTACTCCTCGCTCGTTTAGAATGTCAGGCCAGCATGGAAGAGTAGGCCAATTAACCTTCAGGGAGGCTCTTAGAGCTACCAGTCGAGGCCCTTCCACCAAGAGTGCGTGAGCAAGCGATTGCAGAACTGCACCTTGCATTAATACGATGAAACAGTTTTAATCTCGGGTTTTCCTTAAAAGGCTTGGGCAGAGCTGTGGCACAAAACCAGTGCTACGAACCCGGTAACCCAAAATCAATTTCCGACTACGGCTAACATCAGTGGCGAGACTTCACTGAATCTGCCCTGGCCAATATCGCCCCCCACCCCATGCCACGACCATAAACCCTCCCCGTGATGAGTGTGGTGAAGTATGGTCAAGCAACCCCAAGGATCGACACGGCGTGCGGAGGCCTTAATCCAGGAGACTGTAAATGATTATTATGTGTATGTAAGTGTATGTGCTACTGTGTCTATTTTAGTGGATGTGGGGAGTGGTTGTGCAGTGTTTTCAGTTTCATTTATTTTGGTATAGCCCTGTGAGCCATTCGGCTCTTGAATCGGGTGCAACCGCAACAAACAAAAACATGAACAAGAAACATCTTAAAGTGACTACGCGCAAACATAAAAATCGTTGAAAAAACTGCAAAGTCTTCCAGAAAAAGCACCGTATATGAATGATGTGTGCAAAAATCCCAGTGGGATGCAAGTCAAACAATACCAACCATAAGACAATTTAGATTAAAGTTATCAGTCTAACTTTGTACTACAAAAAACCCGGCGACCCGAGTTCAATTCCTGCTCATGGCCAATACCAGTGATGATTATCTGAAACAGTCCTGGGCCTCCCCTTCATCTACTTAGCCTCAAAATTTTCCCTTGTGCTGTGTGTAAAACTCATCACTTGAGAGACAAAGGTGGTCGGGCGTGATGCTGGCCACCCACCCCCTCGTGTGCCATGCCAGCCTTCATAGGTGCTGCTCGCTAACAGCACTTTCCCCTACAGTCTGTTAAGGCTATACGGGGGAATCTTTGTTATTTTAGTGTGTGTCATCAATATCAGTGCCAGTTAGAGGTACAGTGGAACTTTTGTTATGGGCCACTGGGCGCACAATGGAGTCCTGTGGTGGGGCCACGTCTGTTGATCGCTCACCATGTTCTGTGTATCTCCACAGTTCATGGCGATGTCAGTGGCAGAGATGGGAGACCAACGCGGCCGAGGAGGGCCTCCCCGTGAGTGGCGCTCAACATCGCTTCCACTACCGCCTCATCATAATACCTCCTCATCCATCAACCTGTTGTAATACATCCTCACCCTGATGTCGGATCGTCCATGAAATCTTCTTTTCTGATTTCCACCGCATTGTGGTTCCACATTTCCCTCTTCTATCGCCGCCTTTTCCAGATACCTCTTATCCTGATTACACCCCATTCGCGTCCTCACCATGATTCCTCTTTCCCCTGATACATCAAGTCCTTAGGATAGGGGGAATGTGAGTCATTGTCTAATGCACATTTTTCTCTTGCTTACCCTCCCCTTCCTTTCCCCTCCCCTCTTTCCCCACTATCCTCCTCCCTCCCTGCTGTGCTCCCCCACCCCCTCTCATTCCTTGTTCCCCTCTTCCCCATCCCCAATCCTTTTCCTCCATTTCCTCTCTCTTCTACCCCCTACTTCACCCAATCCCTCCCCTCTCAAATATTCCCCACTCCTTCCTCTCTCTGACTCCTCCTCCCCTCCCACCCCCATATCCGCTTTCCCTCCTGAAGGCGGGCGCTACATGGCTACGCACTACCGCGGACGTGACGGGCCTAGACAAGGTAAGCACTGCCTTGGATCGTGTGTATGTGTGTGCATGCGGTGGTTATGTAACTTTGTGTGTAGATGGGTATGTGTAGGTATGTATGCATGCATGCATGTGTGTGTCTGTCTCCATGTATGTGTACGCGTATCCTTTTGTGTGCAGATTTTTCGGTATATGCATGTCTGTACATAAGTGTGCAAATGTCCAAGTGTCTGTGTCTGATAAAGGCTGGACGGAGATTTTTTTTTTCCGTTGTGTGAGTGTATGTATTAAGATGGCTCTGTGTATGTTGTGTCTCTTGGGGAGTGATAATGTAGCGGCGACGCAAGTACAATTCCTGTTTACGACCAATAAGAGTGGAGAATATTTTAATCCGTCCTGGACCTCCTCTAGGTCGACTCGGCCTTAAATTAGTACCTGGTGCAATGTGTAAACATCAGCATTGGGGAGACAAAGGTTGCCGGGTGGGGGGTTGGCCACATCTCTCCCTCGTCTGCTGTGCTGGCCTTTAAAGGTGCTCGCTAACAGCACTTGTCCCTACAGTCTGTTGAAGGCAATAAGGGAATCTTTGTGTGTGGGTGGGTGTATGGTTATGTGTGTGTGGTGGGGAGTGGTGGCACAGTGGTTAGCACACTGCACTATGAATCCGGCTACCCGAGTTTGATTCCCGCTCATGACCAACACCAGTGACGATTATCTAAACCGGTCATGTTCTTCTCCTAGCTCGACTCAGCCTCAAAATGATTACCTGGTATGGTGTGTAATCATCACCACTGGGGAGACAAAGGCGGCCGGGCGTGGTGCTAGCCACCCACCCCCTCGTGTGCCGTTTTGGCCTTCAAAGGTGTTAAGGCTATACGGGGGATCTTTGTCTTTGTTGTGGTTCTCTGTTCATATATTTGTATGTACAATGTCACACTAACCACACCCCCTTACCCCTCCCCCCTTACCAGATGGTAGTTGGGAAGCGAAGGGCGACGCGGGCAGTGGTGGCATCTACATCAACGGCTATGGCCCGGACGTAACGATGCTGACCAACGGCTTCGAGCGGGGAGCTGTATATGGCGGGCGTGGGGGGCGCGGAGGGGATCGCGGCCGTGGGGGTTTCCGTGGCCGTGTGGCATACCAGCACGGAGCGCCCGCCAATCCCGGTAAGGCTTGCCACACTGCCACCAGAGTCAGCCACAACCACACGCAACCTCACCACAACCACACACATCCATACCACATACAGCCACATGGCAACCACACCCAGCCACATCTGTCACGCACAGCCACCGCCACACAGCACATTACAAACAGCAAAGACACCACACCCAACAAACTACAACCACGCCCCGAAGAATCACTGAATCCACTTTTAAAAACCATTTCCACACACTGCAGTCGTCACTTTCTATACACTCCGCAACCGCACCTACCACACCCCCACTACTACACCTGCCACTCCGTGAAAGAGGCAGCCCACCCAATAGAACATTGACCGTGGAGGTTGAGCGATGTAGATAATCTCCTGTGCAGGCGCAAGGTGTAGATCGCGTGACTGAGGGATACTGGCAACCGGGGAAAGTCCTTCAACAGTGATGAATTCGTGGCTGGCAATGATGGTGTGTAACCGTGTCTGTGTTTGTCTTTAGCAGGCTACATGGTGTACGAGCGACGTGATAACGGCACAGCCGCGTGGGGCGCTCCTAACGAGCCCTTTGCAAACTACCCCGGCGTCGGCGGAGGCATCGGTGGCGGCATGGGAGGTGGCATGGGCGCGGGAATGGGTGGGGGCATGGGTGGGGGAATGGGAGGGGGAATGGGAGGGGGCATGGGGGTTGGCGGTGCCCCGCGCGGTGGACGTGGGGGAGCAGGGCGCCCCACACGGTGAGAGGGACGCGCACGCATGTATACACACGTGTTCGCATGTACAGAGTAGTTAAATAGAGATATACAACCTGTGGCCGGGACCATTCCGAGCCACCCCCAGCGGTGCTCCGATGTTCCATTGCAAAAGGGGTATGGAACAGCGCGGTGCTGTAAGTGATCTTTAAGCGCCCGTGTCGCTTGGCCTGCAGCTACGAGGGCTCGCGTGGTGGAGTGGGCGACCAGCAGCGCGTCTACCGTGGCTCCTTCCCCGGAAATCGCTTCGACCGCAGCGCGGCGGCGCAGCAGCAGCAACAGCAGCAGCCGGCGCAGCACCTGGACTGCAACACGTACCAGCCACCACCGGCGAGAGATGGAAACACATATCAGCCTCCGCAGGTACAGCCCGTCATGTTGGCATCGAATTATTCACCCTGTGTGGCTCTCCGTCACTTTCCGTGTGTCTCTCCATGTCTCTGCTTGTGTTCCCTACTTGTTTCACTCCTCGTCTCTCCTTGTGTGCTCTACGCACCTCTCCTTGTGTGTTCTACGCACCTCTCCTTGTGTGTTCTACGCACCTCTACCTGTGTGTTCTACGCACCTCTCCTTATGTTCCCTTCCATCTCTCCCTGTGTCTCCATCTCTACCCATGTTTCTCTCCACTCATTCTAGTGTCTCCCACTGTATCCCTCCCCGTGTTGCCCCGTGTCTCCATTTCTCACTTTGTCCATCTCTACAGGTGGTACTCTGCATGCATCCCAGTATCTCTCACTGTCTCTGCCTGTCTCTCCCCACTTATCCCTCGTGCGTCTTCCTCCATTCTGACATCGCCTCCCTGGTGCCGCGTATCCCTTGTGGTACAGGCTAGCAGTGGAAGCTCGTACCAGCCACCAGCCCGTGACGGAGTGAGCTCCTTCCAGCCGCCGCTGCCTCGTGACACCGCCACTGCTCCCGGTGGGGGCGGCGGTGGAGGAGGAGGGGGCGGGCCCGGAGGGGACGACTGGACCAAGCCTCTCCCTCGCAATGACCGTATTGAGAAGTGAGATCCCCAACTAGGGGTAGGGTTGAGGGGTGGGGATAAGGTTAAGCATTGGGTTATTGTTTGGGTTAGGGTTAAGGATTAGGGGTTAATTGCTTTGGCTGGAGTTATGGGATAGCGAAACGGTTAGAGCTTCGGTTAGGTGTTAGGGTTAGACTTGGGGCTAGCGTTAGGGGCTAGGGTGAGGGGTTAGTATTAAAATTTGTAATAAGGTTAGTGTTAGAGTGACGGACACTGTTTTAGGGATTTATAAGTGATGCATAACATTGATTATTATGTTCGTCGGATATTTATAGAACCGGGCCTGTACAAATCGATAATTTATCATTCATCGTGCTTCTATTGATTTATTGAAAGATATGTGCCCTCTGCCCAACTCAACAACTTATCCTGATCCTGCTGTTGGGATTCATTTCACGAGACGAGATGTCCATTGAGAGTCTCAGAAAGGAGTGCATTACCCCGTGTTAGGGGCCCACGGAAGCAGATGTCGCAGAACTGTTTGCAATTTATAGCACACAAAATATTGAACAGATCTAAATAACCATAACTTTGAGGTACGGAAACAAGCTCGGCGTCACACGGAAAGCCTGGCCAAAGAGGCGGGGCATATAAGTGTCTCTTTTAAGGGGTGTTGATTGAACGCTGCTGAAATTGTGCAGTGGGGTGGCTTTCGAGATGGAAGAGCTGTAGTAGACGGTTGTTGGTCCTTGGTGTAAATTATTGCCATCACACTTCCCCTTACTTGCTTCTGTGCGTGTTACACCCCCCCCCCCCCACCACAGGGAGCTGTTTGCCGGCAGCAACACAGGAATAAACTTTGAGAAATATGACGACATCCCGGTGGAGGCTACGGGTAACGACTGCCCTCCGCACATCGAGAGCGTAAGTAGCTCACCATATGACCATTGCTTCTCGCAATGCATTCCTCTCAGTACCATTCGCACCTATGATTGGCACGGTTGGCTACGTGTGTCTCGAAAAAAGTTCAACAAAAAGACAGATATCCCTCCTATAGCCTTAACATTGACTGTTGGGGCAAGTGCTGTTAGCGAGCACCTATGAAGGCCGGCACGGCACACGAGGAGATGGGTGGCCAGCACCACACCCGGCCGCCTTTGTCCTCTGTATACATACGTTCATCAGCGTACATGCATCTACACCGTGCAATGCTCACAGTACAATCCTTATCACAATCCTCACAGCGCAGTTCACACCGTACAGTCTTCGCAGCGCAATTCACCACTACGCAATCCTCGCAACAATTCTTGTCGACCAGAATTTTACTCCCAAACATTTTTGACCATGTTCTGTCGATGTGCAATAATAGTAATCTATTGTATTTGCCAGGCTGGTCGGTAGGTATCAGCCTCAGAACTAGATGGCTGATCTCGAATTGTTTTTCTGGCTGTGGGCTAAGGTCCACCCTTGGGCTGATGCTGCATCCTTCCGGCCTTAATAGATGTTTTATCTTAGTGTGAGCATGTTTGTGGAGGCGTGTGTTTACACGTGCCCGTGCATGTGTACGTGTACGCGCATGGAGCATGTGTGCGGCTGTTGATGTGTGCCTGTGTGTGCACATGTGTCAGTTCCACGAGCTGGAGCTGGGAGAGATCATCATGAGCAGCGTGACGCTGTGCCGCTACGAGCGCCCCACGCCCGTGCAGAAGTACGCCATCCCTATCATCAAGGCCAAGCGTGACCTCATGGCGTGTGCACAGACCGGTGCGTGGCCGTTTCTCACATCGCCATAATTACCCCGTGTGACTCAGCTGTGTCGTCACGCAGGAAAAGCCCTCTGTGTCTCTACCCAGAGGGCTTTGCATTAAGCCAGATTATCGTGCGTCTCTACTCAGAGGGCACGTATCATTGTGCAGAACGTTTGAGCCGGCTCCGCTGACATCCTGGTTTTGAATCCCGTTTCTCGAGTGTTGCAAATGTACTGCACAAGAAAACCATGATGTTAAATTTGGTTTTGCACTAAAATAAAATAAAAAATCTGTTAGACTTGTGATGTACACAGTCTCATAGCAGAGTGGGGGAAAGTGTGCCCCTTCGTGTGTGAAGGATACAAAGGCCACCTGAAAGAATTTATTTGTGTTGAAATCCCGTGAAAAATCTCCGCAGCCATTGTGACACACTGCTCTGAGGGATTTCAAATTGATTCTTTGTCTTGTGATGTGGCCAAGGTGTAATATATTTGGAGAAAGGAAAGACAGAAAAATAATGGTCTGTATCATGTTACTCAAACGTTTAGTGGCGCTAACTCTGTTGGTGAACGCTCATCCACAGGCTCTGGAAAAACGGCTGCTTTCCTCCTACCGATCCTAAGTCAGATCTACAGCGGAGGACCAGGCAAGGTGGTGGAAGACACCAAGAACCAGCAGGTAAAGGAAGTCGTCACGTGGCCTAGAGATCAGAAGCCCTGAGCCAAGCACCGCTTCAACCCTCGGTTGGACTCTCTTTAAGCCACACCAACATTAGACCAAGTTAACGAGATTGGCGAGTGACTAAGAGGTCGGAGACACTGAACCAGGACGACTGTTGAACAGGTCCTTAAGTGGCTGTTGGGTGGTTCAGAGCTCTGGTGCAGAGCCAACGGACTGGGTTAAAATCCAAAATTTCAGCCGTGCATCCGTGATTGAACCGGATTCTGAAGTGTATTGAGCTGATGGTCTCAGACCCTTCGCCAGAAATAAACAAAAAAATAATGCTTCTGCTCGCCATACAATAATCAAGTCAAATGTAATAATAGTTTTTATAGTTCATATTCGGTTTGTATATGTTCTGTTAATTGTTTTACCTTCCCAGTAGAGACTCTGGAGGTGCTAAATTCACCATAATGCTAAAATGCTGCTAATTCCATATCAGAATCTCAACCATGAATCATGATTATTAATTGAAACGTGAGCAGACTGTCCATTGACACATGGTAGTACGCTGCTGTCTGCAAGAGTTAAAAATGAAAATATTTTGACATTTTAATAATGCCCCTAGCACAATTGGAACATAATTGTGGAACTCCCAAACCCATTGGACTGCAAGGTGGCCAGGATATGCGACTACAGCAAGTGGATTCTTGAAATCCATCTGTGCAGAGCTTTGTTATCCTTTAAGTGTGGTGGGTTTCTCCAGTTTTCTTCAGTTAATCCCACACAAAGCCAAGCACATGTTAACGGAAATCATGGCCAAGCATCCTGGTGTAGCAGGACACTGCCGACAAAATCGTGAGACTGTTACATTGTAAACCAAGGACACTGTTAAATTGTTTTCATGAAAACGTCTAGCTTCTGCCACAGGAGACGGTGAAGTATGGGCAAAGGAAACAGTACCCCATGTCGCTTGTGCTGGCGCCAACTCGGGAGCTGGCACTGCAGATTTACGACGAAGCTCGCAAGGTACGGGGACTGGAAAACTGAGGAACTGGGCTTGGGCCCTGGGTCCTGGGTGCCTCTATAAGAGGCAAGGGGGGGTTATAATAGCTGTGTCAGAGACAGCTTGACACTTCTGAGGGTCTGGCCTGGAGCCTTTTGGATCTCTACATTTCTTTGTCAGGAGGTTCATAATGGCCATATTAGAGAGAGAGCCAGCACCGTAGAGAATATTGTACATGTGGACTTGTGCTTAAAACCTACACTTGGTACGTGTCGGAGTGCATATGTATGTGTACGTGTCATTTTGAGGGGAGTGGTAGTGTAGCGGTTTTTAGCGTGCTGCCCTATGACCCGTAGACCCGAGTTTGATTCCTGCTCACGGGCTACACCAGTGACGATTATCTGAACCGGTTCTGGGCCTCTCATAGGTCGACTCGGTCTCATATGAGTACCTGGTGAGATGTGTAAACATCGCCATGAGGGAAACAACGGCGGTCCGGCGTGGTGCTGGCCACCCCCATTGTGAGCCATGCCAGCCTTCATAGGTGCTCGCTAACAGCACTTACCCCAACAGTCTGGGATCTTTGTATTTGTGTCATTTTATACGCATGTACATTGTGTGTGCGTATTTGTGTTTACTAGATAGTCTTACACTTGTGTGTGTATGCGTGCGCGCGTAGTTTGCGTACCGCTCGTGCGTGCGCCCGTGCGTGGTCTACGGGGGAGCGGACATTGGGAACCAGGTGCGTGAACTGCAGAAGGGCTGCCACCTGCTTGTGGCCACGCCGGGCCGCCTCGTCGACATGATGGAGCGCGGCAAGGTCGGCCTCGACCACTGTCGGTTAGTAAATCCGCCTACACACTCAGTAGCCCACCTGTATACTAACTAGCTCACCTCCACGCTCGGTAGCCACCTACACACACTCGCTATCCCACCTACACACTCAGAAGCCCATCTGCACACACGGAAGCCAATCTGCACACTTGGTAGCCTCCCTGCCACTTGCTAATCCAGGGGTCGACAATAACATCAACAAGAAGAACTGTGTTTTTCGAATTTGGTAAAAATAACTATTTCAGGAGCCGCAATGAAAACGATGGTGGTGCTTAATAAATAATGTGACGAAGCAGTCCTTAAAGAGCTTCATGTGGCTCGGGAGCCTCAGGTTGCCAACCCCTGTGCTCGCCCATCGAAATGCCCCCTATTCCATCCATATTTTTGTCCGTCGACATGCCAGCCTATATTCACACCCACTATCCCGTCCACAAGCCCACTAGCCCATTCCATTGTTAAGTTAGCATTTTTATTTTAGTCATAGTCTTAAGCTAGTCGATGACAACCCATGGAGTGTTTGTCAAGTCTTCGTCTGTGGATTTCACTTTGTAATTTTATTAGTCTAGCCGACGAAGAGCAGTGGGACATTTAGAGTGATCCTGGCCAGGACGGCTCAAGTTAGCCAATCAGAGAACTCGGTGAATCTTTGTCTATACGTATGTATCTAATTAACATGTTTGGTATTCCTCGGTGTACCCCGCAGCAGTCTCTTTAAAGTGTTTCTAAACTATCTTAAGCTGCAATCTTCACTCGCCTCTTGAACTGCGTCTCGTCAAGAGTCAGCCACGCTAAGATGTCTGGTGGGCAGTAGTCGTAGTCATCATCCCGTTTCGGTGGTTTTCATCCACTTGTAGTTGTACGTTGACTAAAACGAAGCGCGTCGTTGATGGTTATTTTCATCGCACATTTCATGAACATAATTTCCAAATTGATTATCAAAAAGTCGATAATCAATTTTGGACAACCTTGCAAACGAAATATTCCATGTCGAGGGATTGTCCAGGTAAATAATTGTAGTTTTTTAAAATTTAATAAATTATTGTTAATAACGATCCCAGTGTGCACGTGATTGATTGTGGTTGTTGCTACCACCCCTTCCACTCAGGTACCTGGTGCTGGATGAAGCTGACCGGATGCTGGACATGGGATTTGAGCCGCAGATCCGCCGTATCGTGGAGCAGGACGTGATGCCGACCAAGGGCGATCGCCAGACCCTGATGTTCAGCGCCACCTTCCCCAAGGAGATCCAGGTGAGACACGGTTGAAAGTCTACAGTTAGAGGAGGTGGCGGAGAGCAGATGAAATGTCTTAAGCTTGGTGCTTAAAGAAAATTTAAACCCAAAATAACAGAAATAGCTTTCAGGAGTTTTATACGTTGAACATATCTATTTGTCCGTAAGGCACACAGCACTTGCACCACTAATTTTGCTTTTCCACTTCATATGGCTAAATTCCAGCCCTTGAGAATCATCAATGTCGATGCACAGGATTTCGTGACTGCTCTGCAGCTCTTCTGATGTGTTTTGGGGGTTGTTACCGAGTGTTGTTAGGCATTGCGTCCTTCATTTCGCTCCACGTGCTTGGAGCTTCAAATGATGTTGGATTTACCGCCATGTGAAGAACATTTACGCTAGGTGGGGGAAAGTGCTGCCCAGCCCTACTTTGTGGAACAGTGGTTACTTGAAGGATCTCAGAGGTAGCTCTCGTGGAATGTTCACAGCTTTTGAAGATAACAATAAACCAGGCCGTCTCCTTTCACACCCCTCCCCACGCGTTGCCATTGTGCCGCCCACGTTTTTGACTGCCACCATTGCTGCCCCCCGTCCCCCACCAAGATCCTGGCGCGTGATTTTCTGGAAGACTACATCTTCCTGGCGGTGGGGCGAGTGGGATCGGCCTCGGAGAACATCACTCAGAAGGTCGTGTGGGTGGAGGAGATGGACAAGCGCTCGTTCCTGCTCGACCTCCTCAACGCCACCGGTGATGGTGCTGCCCTCGCTGCTCGCATTCCTCGCTGCTGTTCACCTCCCCACGACTCTCGCTTCTCACTGATACACTCACTGGTGATGCTGCCACCCACTTGTGATGCAAATTACTTACGCCCCTCTCAACGCGCACTGCCACTCACTCCTCGCCATGCCGTTCTCACCTCTGATTTATTTAACCTCTCACACCTGCTGCAGCTGCATCCACTACCACTGCTGTTGTTTCCCGTAATTGATGTTGCTGCTCTAACAGCTGCTAATGTAGCAACCATTATCGCCAGCATCGTAGACGTCATTGCTGCTGTAAAACCTACTGGTGCTGCTAACGTCATCATTGTCGTCGTTATTCCATTGCTCAGGGCGGGACTCGCTCACACTGGTGTTTGTGGAGACGAAGAAGGGAGCGGACGCGCTGCAGGGCTTCCTGTGCTCGGAGGGCTACTCCTGCACTAGCATCCACGGGGACCGCTCGCAGCGCGACCGCGAAGAGGCGCTCAGCCTCTTCCGCACAGGCCGCCGGCCCATCCTCGTCGCCACTGCGGTAAACATTCCAGCCGCCGCGTCTGTGGGGCACGGGCCTTCCTGGATTGATTAAATGAGTCATCGTTTTTGCAAGCGAGGCAGCCATTGAAAACGAGATGCCACAGTACAAGCAACTCGAACAAAACGAGATGAACAAAAAATAATCCATCCCTGAATTGAATCGAGGACCCTCCAAATCGTGACAAATTGCCCAATCGCCGAGGAAATTAAAGGTCACATGACTTCTGCTTTACCTCACCCACCTGCTCTCCCCCAGGTGGCAGCACGTGGGTTGGACATCCCGAACGTGAAGCACGTCATCAACTTTGACCTCCCGAGCGACATTGAGGAGTATGTGCATCGCATCGGACGCACGGGACGAGTCGGCAACCTGGGTACGCGCACGTGTACACACATACACAGCTCCTGAATGCGCCGCACTGGCGTGCACAGATACACGCACACAGCTGCCGTAAACTCACGCACACACCTCCGCCACCCCCTACCCTCTCCGTCCCCCCTTGCCCACTCCACCCCGTGCAGGCCAAGCGACGTCATTCTATAACGAGAAGAATGAGAACATGACGCGGGAGCTGCTGCACCTGCTGGTGGAGGCGCACCAGGAGGTTCCCTCGTGGCTCGAGACGATGGCTCAGGAGCACCGCAGCAAGCCGGCACGCGGGCGCCCCAAGCGGTGACCACCACACCAAACGGCCAACCACCGACACCGCAACACTCGCCACATCAGCCATTACATGCATTGAATTGTGCTCGCAATATAATGAATTACTCACAGCTCGCTCGCATGACGATTCACTGAATGTCCGCTGATGGTGGCGGCGTGCGTGAACTGTGATACACGGTGCCCGGTGTCATCACCAACCCATGTGTCCTTCCCTTCTTGTTTTGCCAATTCTTCCTCCCTCACCACCAGCTTTGCCGGAGGATTTGGTGGGCGAGACTACCGGCAGACGAGCGCCGGTAGTGGCGGAGGGACGTACAACGCTCACCAGCGCGGGGGCCCGCGGGGGGCGCCAGGGACCACGACCGTGTGTAACCCGGGCATGGTGCGCGGGGTCGGGGCTGGGCAGCCCACACGGGGGTTCAACCGCGGTGAGAGAAGGGGGGAGAGTTGGAGCCGGGGGTGGTGGGGGAACAGCGGACAGAAACACACATTAACATATATTGACACACTGGTACAGAGATAACAGCGATCGAGATAGACACACGGATATACAGAGACACGTGCGGTAAGTCCTCGCTTAAACGCGTGGTGTTCACGCAACGCATTTTCCCTAAAACGTGGTTCTTCCATTTGGGAACACTATTCGCACAATGCGGAAAGCGCACCGTTATCACGCGGTTTCTGAGCGGTCCAACGATGGACTATTTTCTTGAGCTGCGCAGCTGAGCAGTACGACACAGTATGGGGAATGATACAGTAACAGCGCGTACCCTCCGTTATTTGTCCCAGCATCTTTACCGTGTGTGCTTATATTGCATCGCGCCAAACTTTATCGCGACATTATTTATGGGGAATTGTTTTTCGCTTTACCTGGCACTTTTCAGGAACACATTTAGCGTGTTCAACGAGGACTCACTGTACAGGGACAGAGACACGGGGACCAAGATAAAGACACAAGACAAAGACACATACAGGGACGTTTGAGGGATTAATTTCTGTGTGAGGCGGGAGGGCAGGCCCACACGCACACAAAGACAAAGATGCCTTTTCTAGGCTTAATAGACTGTTGGGGGAAGTGCTGTAAGCAAGCATTTATGAAGGCCCGAACGGCAAATGAGGGGGTAGGTGGCCACAGCACCACATTCACTGTGCTTTGTCACCCCAGTGGCGATGTTTACGTACCGCACCGGGTACTCGGAGGCTGAGTCGACCTAGGGAAGACCCAGGACCGAATCGGATAATTGTCACTGGGTGTTGGTCATCAGTGGAAATTGAACTCAGGCCGCTGTGTTTGTAGTGCAGTGCACTAACCGCTCCCCCACGCACGCACACACATATACACACATACACGAACAATACAGGAACGTACACAGACGTGTGTGCATGCATGTGCGTTTACATGTATTTCTATGCGTGCGTTTTCCAGGCATCTATCTCACTTCACCCACAGCACTTGACGTACCCTCAGAGTGAACCTAACCTGGCACAAGTGCCTTGTTGACCGTCGCTGGCATTTAGTGTTGAATGGCATTTGTTGTTGTTTGTGTCGCCGTGTTTTTTTTTAATGTGTGCTTGTGCCCATACATGCGCAGGTGTGTTCTCGTGTGTAAATGTGTATAATACATGTATCTTTGTATCTGTGTGTGCAGGTGGCTATGGGAACTTTGGCCACTTTGCCCCCCAGCCTATGCCAGGCGGGTTCCCGATGGCGTACGGAGCCCCCATGGATTGGTGGACCAGTTAGGCCGGCCCGGTACATGGCACGAGTACACAGCCAGAGTACATGAGAGAGATGAATTGCACGAGCGCACGTCGTGCGTACACAGTAGTGGCACGAACACACATGACAACAACACGAGCACACAGCCTCAACACAAGTACACATCGAGATGAGCACATAGCAACAGCTTGTACATAGCTCGAGTACGCAAGCTAGCACAGCAAGATTAATATTGTGTGCACGGTGGGATGAGTATACGATCATAGAACATGAGTACACAATCACAGGTAGTGCAAGCACAAGTTACGTAGTAGGACACGAGTATGCAGTGCAGGTATACGAGGCTGATGCACGAGTGTGCAGCAGACGCACACGTGTGTATGTACGCATGTGTAAACACAGGCTTGTACACGCGTCCTCGCAAGCTTACTAGCTTGCATGCGTACTCGCTTTGTGTACACGCGCACGCACGCAAGTACACACACACACGTGTCCACGCATTTGTGCACATATACACACGTACACACTTGCGTACACGCGTACGCATTCGCACGTAAACACACCTCCACAAATACTTGCATGTACGCGCACACACAGGCTCCCCTCCGACCTTGTACTCGTGTTTAACAAGAAATAGTTTAAACGTATAACAAGTACCGACTCCTAATCTTCTTCTCTTCTTCTTCTTGATGATTAATTCTGATTTGCTTATTAAAGTGTTACATTGACTTAGCTGCGTTTGAGGTTAGAGTAGCGGTTCCTTAAATAATTAAAAAAAACGCGTTTCGCTAGCGGCATAACGACGAGGGGACAGAATTTTTATTTTCTTCTTAGATTATTTTCTCTTCGATGAAATGTCGAAAAAGGTTTTGCATGGGAATCCAACCGATGCACTCGCACCTCGGGGGAGAGGGTTTAGCCCGGCACCACGACACGACGCAGAGTGGACCGAATGGGCCAAAGCACCACCACACCACACCACGTCACGTTACGGGGAAACTATTTTCTGTGTCGCTCCGCCTATTTAAAAGTTTGATTGGCGTAGAGAGGCGTCAGGCTTTAGCGTCGCTCCCACCGATGTTCCTCGTTGGTTGGGGATGTCTTGATATCTTGACCTCCTGACCTTTCCCTGTCCCCACAAAGCCCTAACCTGTGTATCTCTAATCCTTAACCCTAAACCCAAAGCAGCCTGAACCAGCTTAGCCTCATTGTCTAACAAGGAGCTGGTTTGGTCTCGTATGATTATAGCGGCAAACAAGCCACATCCTCTATACTGGGTCTGACCCAGGAGCTCTGAATTAAAAACAAAATTCAGCAAAGGGTTATTTAGTTTGCTCGCGTTAATGAGAAGGGGAAGACGAACCAGAGCGAGAGAGAGAGAGTCCGAGGCAGTCGCACTCTACAGACATACAGGATGCGCATGCACATGACATAGTGTGGAGCACACACAAGACATAAATGCACTGGACACACATACATGCACTGACCTGGGCATGCACAAACACACGCATAGCATTAGATACAGGATAACGCAAACGGCACTCAACACATACTACACAAACACTCACTAAAGATAAGCGCACACAAAGAGCACACAGAACACGACACAAACAGCACATGTCCATCCACAATCCTGTGTGAGTGCAACTGTCAATTACAAATATTAGCTATGTGAAGATTTTTTTAATATATATAAATAGCCATTACTGCTCTGCTAGCACACCTCTCTCTCCTCTCACACGTTACCAATGTTCGGTTTCGTTGAAACGGTAAACGGGCGGCAGGAACAAACACCCGTGAATTCTCAAAATTCCCGGAAAAAAACCTCCTCTGCCGCGCTTACGCGGCGGGAGCATTGAGGTGATGGTGGTGGTGCGATCAGGCGCCAGTTTGCGCTGACGCACGCACACACTGTCGTCTCCCTTGGAATTCTCCGCATCCACCTACGCACACACATGCACACCCTGTTCTCACACCAGGAACGCCGTCAAGCAGGACAGGACGTTCACGATGTTTGGGTGTGTGGGTAATACGTGCAGGTGACCGAGTGGAGTTTTCCAGGCACTCGTTTGTATCTCAAGCTGTCTTGCATTTTGCAGTTCCAGGTGAGGCGTGGTGGACAGCCTGTGCCACAGCGGGTGAGGAGGGTGGTGGTGGTGATTTTCTGATTGGTTAGCGAAGCGAGTTTATGCTTGTGCCGACGGTTTTTGGTCGGCAGGGCCCGCTTGGGCGTTTTTGTTGTCGGTGAGAATAGTTGGTATGCGGTCAGGCAAGTGTCTGTCTGCCGCTGTCGACATGCCGGCTGTCTCCGCCGAGGTGTGTGCGTGTCTCTTGTCCGTGGAGTTGTCTATCGGGCAAGGCGAGTCGAATCGCCGGAGGATTTGGGTTCGCGGTCAAGTTGTTTCCGTCCGCGGTTTAGATCCGCGGACGTCGTTTTTTTTACTTTCTTGGGCGAGAGAAAACGTGCGCACTTTGCTGCAAGCGTGACTTAATGGCACCTCCATATTACACAGAGCTTTTAAAAGAAAAATGATAATCGATTCTTTTAATGGGAACTTTGATCACAACTCTTAATGGTGCGATGGTTTTTTTCTGTGTCAAGTTTTTGTTCTGTTTTTTTAAAAAAGAGTCCAAAGCTGTGACGCTGCGTGTGGCGTCGTAAGGGGGTACGTGTTTGAACTTTTCGGGCCGATGTTGCGGCCGATGACCTTGCCAGAGAGCGGCTGTGTTCATTTGTAAGAGTCTCACCGTGTTTGGTCGTTAAAGAGAGAGAAAGGGGGCGTTCCTTAGGTGATGGCACTAACACACACATGTATGCATAAACAGGTTTAGACACACACACACACACACGGGGCTATAGTTAGGTGTCTTAAACAAACAAGGGTCAAGACGGGAAAATACCACATGTGGTGTTGGAATGGACGCTTTAAATGCATCCGCAAATAATAGGTAAAAGAATTTACAAAAAAAACATGTAAGCAAAACCTAACAGAAAAGTGCGTGGAATAATACAATGTGGAATTAAAACGCGACATGTAAACGCAAGACGGTGGGAATGACATGCGATCCGAGGCAGGGACCGTCGGAGACTCTTGAGTGTCCGTAACGTTTCTTTCCGCAAAACTAAAACCGCGGAAGGAAAACACATTTAATGGAAGTGTTACCACGCGAACCGTATCTCCTCCGTTTTCTCCGTCTGCCGCTCTGCTGCGTCGGTGGGGAAAGATTAACAAGCGACTCGGGAGCACCCGCGTTCATCGAGAACAAACGTGCGAGTGAAATAGAATAATTAATATTAACGATGACGATGATGACGACAGAGACCCCATCCCTTCCCACCGGTTGACCCCATGAAGTTATTAATTCTGGCAAGATTAAACCATTGCTTGGTGGCTCTGTAAAACATTGACATTTCTGGTCATTTTAGATTCTGTTTTCGAGCATTAGTTTTGGTTATAGCTGAACGTCACCCTTTAGTCCTGGCGGTTTTACAAAAGTGCCAAGTTTTCTGAGCATGGACTGTTGGTGCTCGGAGAAACGCAGAACTAACGCGACGGGTGGAAGTTGCCTTATTCCGTGACAGGCTTAATGCTTGGCCTATTTTGCATCTTTGGTCGAAACGTTAAAATTACAGCGAGCAGAAGAACCAATCGACCCTGCTCATATGGGACAACTGATACCCCCCTCATCCCCTCTTGCTTTAGGTGCCTTAGTTTGGCTTGAAGAGTTCTCAGATCTTCTCCGGTGAGTGGCGATAATCAACCCGGGCCCTAAGCAAATGTGCCCGTGAGAGATGGGGTTTTTTTTCCCCGTCGTTTGTGACTTGTTGCGATTTGCTACAGAACACGCGATTAGTCTCGATTTACAAAAGTGAGCATCAATAGCGGTTCCGTGTAATGATTAGGTTCGCACCTGTGGGTCTGGAGTTCTAGGGACCGCTAGATATCTTGGGAGTAGGGTCTGTGTCAAATCAGTATGCTGACAGGTTCTTATCTCCCGAGTCGTGAATGCTGTTGTACATTTGTGACTGCATAATGCTACTCACTAGAATGGGGGCACCGTGGTGATTTGACCTTTGCTCTTTCCCTTGTAACACGTGTGCTTCGCTACTATGAGTCACGTGCCACCCACTCCAGCCTACCAGCGACTCGGAAAATATTGAGCGATAAATTATGCCCTTGGTCATCATCGTCATCGATTGTAGGAGTGTAGTGAGTCGATGTGTCTCAGCCCGGTCACCGATGACTTGGCACGTACAAAACAAAAATGCACTTCCGTTTCTAAAACGTGTCAACGAAAGGGCCTGCCTGTTTTGAGTTAGTTTATTTTGCGTTAAGTTTGTGTAAAAGGTTTAGAGGCTATTAATGCTAAACTATGATAGCTGCTGTGGGTTTGACGCAGAGGCGCCGTCTGTTTTTTTTTCGTTAATATCGTGGAAATAAAATCTAGCGGAGAATGTTAGCGATTTTCTTTTGTTACACTCGGCCTAACGCGTGAACTTGCGTTCATCCCTTCCCACCCCCCCTTCCCTGTTTATATAGCGAAAACTGAAATGTGACAATATAATTAATAAATTGCGCGATAATTTAAAACAAATTCCAAAAAGCACCAATACAAATCGATTCTCGCCATCGCGATAAATACACGTGCCGAGTCTCTGTTGTAGGTGATCGATGCGTCTCGATCCGTATGCTTTGTACGTTCTGGGATGACGTGATTCCCCAGCAACCTCCTGAGGACGCGTTCACCGCAATGTTTACAAAAATAACCGGTCATCGAATCGCGACAATTCATCAATTCGTCGGCGGTGCGTGGGGGTAGAGATGTGAATATCTCTCAAAGTCGGCAACGTTAGTAGTTAGTCAAAGCAATAATGAGAATGGTTGGTGATGTCTTATTTTGTGTTTAGATGCAAAAATGAATTGGCGGCTAGACGTAAGTGGGACAAGTGGTTCATCATCACCTGAGCCGTTGAGTTTATTTCTTGGCCAAAATAAATAAGCCGCCTCAGTGGTAATTTATACGCGGAGTTAACCCTCGATTATCCGTGGGCACATTATTGAGGCTGCCAGATTAAAATGTGCTTACCAAGTTTGACCTGGTTTAACCACATTACCTGCTTCCTTATGACGGGGGGGGGGGGGGGGGGGGTGTGCAGGAGAATTGGCACCCACGTGACCGCAAAGCACGCACATAAACGGATTACTTTTAAGAACCTTCCCCCCCCCCCCCCCCCCCCCCCCATTCGACATAGGTAAACACTCAGAACAGCCTAATTTCCATATCTTTGGCAACCCCGCCCCCTTATCCTGGATTGTCCGCCTCCCTCCCCCTTATCCCGGATAATCGAGGGTTGACTATTTCCAAAACTGAAGCAACAGCCACATTTTGTTTTAAGAGCGCGAGTATTTATATCGTAGCGGAACGTTTTTTTAATTGGAAGCTAAAGTGGAGGAAGACGTCAACTTACTTGAATTGGGTTTAACCTTTAACCTTCGACCTTGCGCTGCTTTGAGAAGTGACCTTTTATTACGTGCGCATACCGTTGTTTAAGCTTGCGGCCCGACCTTGCGTTCGATAGAAGTTTCCTGCCAGACTGCGTCATCGGAGAGCGACGAAAGATTAATGTGGTGCCAATCGTTACAAAAGGTGATTAAAAAAAGGCTTAAAAGGTGCTCACGCCACTGCTTTGGTTGTACAGGACCTCCGCTCACGGGAGCTCTCTAGAGAGCCTCTCTGAAGGGTATTTAAGAGTAGTGATAATTATAATTTCATTTGTTTTATCTGGAAAAGCCTCACCGAGTCTCAAGGCTCTCCCCTTCATAGGAGTTGTCCAGCTATGTTGGGATGTTTTGGCCGATTCACGTTATTGTAATGTATGTTTAATTGGACGAGTGGTTTGGCTTCAAGATGCGTCATGAAATCTGAGAGCCCGGAGAAATCCCCACCCGCGTGTACGCACGAGGGTGGGGGGGGGTAATAACGCTTAAGCTCTGCTATACGGACCGGTTTGGCGGACCCACTTGCTGTGCTGCCACCTCGGGATGATTGACAGCTCGTTACGGCAATGATCTCGCGGTTAGGGTTGTTGGCGTTAGTCTTGGGGTTAGAGATAATAGTCTTAATGTATGATTGGTAAGGTTAGTGTCGATAATTGTTGGGGGAGAGTTGGCGCCGATAGGTTGCATGGAAGGATAGGGTTTGTAGTTTGAAGGGTTGGGGATAGGCTTATCGTTGTTGATTCGGATGGTGGTAGTGTTCAGATTAAAGTTATTGGTGTTGAGAATAGTATTAATAGGGTAAGAGTCAATTAGCGTTAAGATTGGAGAAAATAGGATTAGCGTTTTTGTGAATGGTCGTGTTGGGGGAAGGGTTGTTATAGTTAATTGTTATCGGATTGGGGCCGTTATACATCGGGTTGTTATTGTAAGGGATGTGATTAGGATTAACATTCAAGTTAGAGTTCATACTTATTACCTGGTGATATAAAGGTGTTAGGGTTATGATTTAGGATTATTACACGAGGGTAAGCTCAATGTGTTCATAGTGTTAGGACTTGGGGTATCAGTTAACTATAATGTAAGTAGTGTTAGCATTATGACCAGGACTTGTGTCGTTAGGGTTATATTCAGGGTAGAGGTTATGGTTGGGCATTAGAGCAGTACCCTAATGTAAAGACTGCAGGTTAGGACTGCCAAGTTCGTTGACATTTTAACACGAAAGTCATTTAACTCGCTACTCGGGAGTCCGTATAGCTGAGACTTAAGCGGTCAACACTCCAACATGCAAAGCAGTTCACTGCACATGACATGTGCACGCATGTGTACATTTGCACAGCCTAGTGCATGTGTTTATACACACGTACACGGGTGTGTTTGCGCGCGTGCGCGTAGCAGTGTGTGCAATACGCCGAGTGTGAGGTCGTGTTGGTGCTGCGTAAGCTGTATGGTGTCCGGTGTGGTGCCGTGTGTGCTCCACGAGGTGTAGTAAGAGTGTGCGCTCGCTGTGCATCGTGCATACGCCATGGTGTGTGCACGTGTGTACGAGTGCGTGCACTGTGTGGTGTGTATTGCATACACCCGGAGGAGTGCGGTGTGCACTGTGCGTGGTGCATACACTTTGGTGTGTGCGTACGAGCGCGTGCATTGACATTGAGGCCTGAGCTGCCGTGCAGCCAATCTGTGCCCCATGGGGAGTTTTACCTTTTGAGGTCGGATTTCTTATCTCTCTGCGTTTGAGCCTTGGGACCAAGCCCCTTGCATTAACTCTCATTTACCTCCCCACTCCTCCGTGCTGCATTTGTATCCCGTGCAGTCCCGATTGTTAGCAGGGCATTACGCGTTATCACAACCAAAACACCCTGTCGGATCGACTCGGCCTAATTATCATCGTCTCTGCCGTGGCGGATAAAACGAGCGCACACCGCTCATTGGGTAGTCGACGGGGAAGACAGGTTTCTGCCATAGGAATGTGGAATTTTCAGCACTGGCTCAGGTCTGACCAACAGAAAATGAGCGCTACCCAATGCTCATTCAATCAGGGAGGGGGGAGGGGGGAGACACCTCATACTTTTTCTAAATTTAAAAAAACGTATTGAGAACGATAAAGACGATTAACCTCCTTTTTTTAAGCTGCCGTTTTTTGTACGATGAAACACAAAGATAGTAATTTATTTTTTTGCACCTGAGCTGAGAAGCCGACGTTGGGGTGGTTGGGCGTTGTGAGTGTGGTATTTTATTTTTATATGAAAAAAAAAAACCCAATAACTGGAGAAGCGGCTTGGGGGCGGGGTTTGGGTCAGGCTACCCACGACCTCTGCGTGCGCGTGACCTTGCCGTGACCTCACGGCCACAGTCGCCAACCGTGGAACCCGCGTCGTGTGTTTTTGTAACGCAGAGCAGCGCCGCCTCGTTCCACTTTAAGCTCAGCCGCGACGATTTTGCCTTCAAACAAATTGAATCCGTCGGAATCAAATGCTTTGCTGAGCTGTTGTAGTTGTCGTTGTTGGAAGTGAGAGTGGCATCTGTAACGACCAGAGCTATCCCAGGGCGAACCCACCCCGATATAGAATCAACGTAGCATATGATACAGAATGCTTGTCGAGTTTAAGTCGTAGTCTAGAATTGGTGCAGGAGCCTATTTCTGTTGATTTTAGAAGCTTAGTCACTTCTGATGCCCTCATTTCATCCGATACATAATCCTCACCACATCTAATACAGAACCCTAATCACGTAAAATATTGGACTCCAAAAACAGAACCCTTATCGGACACAGAATCCTCATTTCATCCAGGATAGATTCTCTAGCCCCATGTAATTCAAAGCCTTCATCTCATCTGATTCATAACGTTTGATCCATTGGATATAGAACTCTTACCCTTTTAAATTTCGCACCATCGTCAAATGGAATAGTGAATCCTTGACCTATCTGCTACAGAATCCAAGTCGCACCAAATACAGAACCCTGCATCATAATCTACTACAGTATCCCTCATCTCATTAGTCTGCCTTAGCTCAGCCCGTAAGTTATACCGCCGGTTTGGCTGAATTAATGAGTCCTCATCCTCGTGCAAATCCTGAGACGTTGCCAACTTTGTGAAAAAGTTTGGTTTGGCTTAGAATCGGCGAGACTGGGCACCGTTAAAGTGGCTCATCGGCGATCCATCGTCGGCCACATGCAAACTTTATTCAACTGCTCGATTGCTCATTTACAGACGTTGCGGCTCCTGTGTTTTCACGTCATCTGAACGAGAAAATGTTAATTTATTTCATGAGGTTGGGTTCCCATGAGCTCAAAAGTTCAGGGTAAACAGTTGAGGTTGGGTGTTTAAAGATTAAATTAAAGAAGCTGGCACGAAAGTTCACATCGGGCAAGTTAAGTTATTATTCCCGCATCCCTTTTCCACACACACTCAAGTCTGGCCAAACGGCCCAGTGGTGTGGTGTACCTGCGTGAGTGCGTGCGTGCGTGCGTGCAGCGATTGCCTAACATGTGGATGGCATCCTTTGTTTAATTAGGTGAGAGCCCTTTTGGATTTATCTTTTTTTTTGCAAGGGGAGACACTGAGGGGTTGGAGACGCTTAAAGAAAGATGGTTACTGACGTTTTAATTCTTGGCCCAGTCGAGGGCTACATTAACGCACAGGCTACACAATGGCCAGCTCTTGCGAATGGTGTCACGGGGTTCCTAAACGTCCACGTTACAGCTGGTTGCGGGCTTCGGCAAAACAGAAAATTTTCCCTCGTGAACCGAACGACATGTGGCTATACCTGGAGTCGAACCGTGCTCAATGGCAGCAGTGGCTGTATGATTGTCACTGCAGACAATTTGGCTGATTAGAGACTTGAATGAGGCCGGTGTCGGTTAGTCGCGGTTAGGGCTACGACCCCTAACCTTGACGTGGTGCAGCAATATTGGTGAGCTATGTCAGGGTTAGGCAGGGTTAGGGATATTACCATAACCCCTGACCTGGTTTAACCTGGTGTTGAGCTGGGTCAGGTTTAGAGTCAGGGAAAGGGCGCTTGCTGTAAACCCCAACCCGGTTTTACCTTTCGTGCTGGGCTGGTGTAGAGTAAGTATGCGAGGCAAGTGCGAGATCCACAGCCCAGTCCCTGTCCAGACTTGCGTTGGAATTAAAGAGTCCAGGCCCTCTGTAAGACACCTCTCTATAAATACATATAAATATATAAGGTATAAAATAAATCCTCAGCAGTTGTGCAGAAATCCATGGATGCCGTTCAACAGAAGAACCTTTGTTCGCCAAGTGCTTTATACGTGCAATTAATATGCAAACTGTGGCAACAATAAACGTTGACTGGAATTGGGCAGGGACAGAGAGACAATTTGGTGGCGATTATCGTAAGGACGGTGATTTTTTTTTTATTTTCCACAAATTTCTGTCGCTCGGTTCGTCGACGGTAACAGCAGAAATGGAAAGGTCACCGGTTTAGGACCGCGAGCGAGGATAAGTTCATTTCAGTTTTAACGGACTCGTTCAGCTTGGTGCGCGAGACAAACGAAAGCGAGATGGCTCAAGCGTCTAACGGAGTTGTGACTTAATTTCAAAAGGAAAAAAAAATCCAAAACTATTATTTGCGTGTTTGTCGTAACTTGAGACAGATCACGTAAAAACAACACACTTAATGTTATTCTTTGTTTAATCTAACCAGTAAAAAAAAATGTCACGAAAGGTGCGGGCGGGCGAGTGAGCGAGGTGGCCTGTGCGACTCCTGCAATGACTGAGAATAAAACCGCAGTCCGTCGTTCATTTGCGCAGGAAAGCCTCGCTGAGCTGACTCGCTGCCAGGAGGAGGGTCCTGCTACATTCGGACGTTAGGCCAAGGCAATCGGATATGACAGTAATATCCTTCCCGATAGGTCGGCAACCTGTTGTACCGCCTTCGGCCACCTCGCCGCCCCCCGCCCCCCTCCTGCCCCCCGTAGGTTGGGGGGTCTCGTGCACATATTGATGATTGTGCGCGATCCACCAACCGTGCCTTTTGGCACCAGATTACGACGGCGTAGGAGATTTTAAGGCAGTATGGGGAGCTGTGTAAACTCCTTGAGTTGGAGGGGGGGGAATCGACAAGTGAAAAGGGCAGCGATTGGGCACTCTTAGGGGAGGAGCCTCACTGCTTTCAAGCAGAGCCTGGCCATAACCCGATTAGGGTTAATTCCAACCATAATCAAATCGAAGCCCTAACCACACCAGTCAACGAAATCCCTCGCCCTGAAACTATCCTTAACCCTCACTGGCCAAGCGGAGCATCGCCCTGATCCTCCCCTAACCACGTGAGCCAATGATTAATAATAGCCAATTACAGCTGGTCCTACTCGAAACAGTGCTCCAGTGCCTCCACACAGCCCTCTCGCTTGGGATTCTCCCATCTCACTGGAGTTTCTCTCCACGCCCTCCGCGCCAGCAGTGGCATCCGTTCGGTACGCGACGGTAAGAGTCGTCCGCGCCCGTCCGTGGCAGCGCCGTGCGCCGCGCCACGGCCGCGTAAACCCAGTAGCGAAGCGAGAGCCTCCCCTCCCTCACGCACATGTGGTCGGTCTGTCAGGCACACGGGCACACGGGCGGGCAGACAAAGCTGCTTCCCAGACAGGAAAACTGCCAGAAAGACAAAACTGCCTCTAGGCAGGTCATTTAGCCGATGGTTGGTTTTGCTGGCTAACGGCTTGGCTGACTGGCTGGCTTGTTATATTGACTGGCTGGTTGGCTGGCTGGCTTGTGAACTGGCTGGTTGGCTAGCTAGATGGATAGCTCTTGAAACAGCTGCAGGGGGTAGTTGTCTGGTCGACCGGATGGTTGTATGGTTTTCTGCTTGGGAAATTGTCCGGTTGTTTAGCTGGCTGCTGATTTGCTTGGATAGCTACCGAGGGTAATTGGTTCTTAGATGGATTGGCCAGGTGAATTGGTTGTCTGGTAACTTGCCAGTTCGTTTAGCTAGTTGAACCGACTGGTAAGCAGGTTGGTTGTTATCTGGATTGCGAGCCGTCTGGCTCTGATACATCTGTTGTTTGATTAAGTTGGTTTTGTCAGTAATCTGGTTGATTAACCAATTGGTTGTCTGTCTGCTGAGTGAGCTGGTTGGTCGTGTGGCTGGTGGACTGGTCAGTTACCTTAGTCAATTGGTTAGCTGGATTAAGTTGTGTGGCTGTATTACTGGTTGGTTAACTCGTTGATTAGTTAGCTGTTTGGTTAGCTATCTGGCTGGTTAGCTGTTGGTTAGTGCAATAGTATTGCTGGTTGGCTGGTTAGTTATTTAGTAAGTTGCCTGGCTGCAGGATCAATTTCCTGATCGGCAGCTTCTATCACTCGGTCTCACGTTCACCACAAAAGATGGGCCCTCGTCGATCTGGCTCAAAATCGCCAGGTCAGGGCAAGGCGCTCCTCCTTGTTAAGTGTGTGAACACGTCACTCAACGCACGCATGCACGCACGTATGCACGCACGTACGTACGCACGGAGTTTAAAGAAAAAAAAATCATAAACGTAGCAAAGTCCCCATGCAGTCGTCTTTTAAAAGGAAAATAAAAGTAATATTAACAATCGTTATTTGTTAATCGCACCCTCACAGTGGAAAATTGATACCGTGTACGCCTGACATTTTTTTACTTGAATTTCACATGGCGGCGACAATGGTGACGACGTTGCCGATGTTATTAATCTTAAGCGTGTGGGTCAAGCAGGACACCCTCCCGCTGTGTGGTGAGTATACACGCAGTGACCCCGCAGCACCTTCAGTTAACCCAAGGGGTGTGGTGTTTCGTTATGGCTATCTCACGGTGCGTTCCCATTTAAGTTTATAGAGGCTGGCCCAACTAAACTCGGGAGGTTGACCAACAAAAATGTAGTCGCGCGTCGAGCAAAAGGCGGAATTTACCGATGACTGAACTGATGCATGAACAATGGAACGAATGAATGGATATAATTCACCCAACTCCTTCTCACTGTTTACTATCGAGGTGCGCGCACGCGCGCGCTCTGCGAGAGCCACGTACGCGCGGTTTATTGCGGGTCGGCGAGTAGCTGAAAAAAAACAATCGGCCGATTGCTAATTGTGTGAGGCGCCAACGAGGGGGGGGGGGGGATTTCGTGGTGCAAAACGCCCGCAGAGTCACGCGCATTGCACCGTGCCGGCAACCGTGTCCGCCGGTGGAGTTTGTTCTTTTCTTACTCTTTACGTTTTCGTTCCCCCCCCAACTACCCCCACACCCCACCCCATCCCCCCCCCCCTTTTCCGTGTTGTGCTGTTGAAACGCGCATTGTTTTTTTTGCCCGCCCCCTCCCCAAGTTAATAAAGACGCTGGAAAAAATAAAGACTCCCATGTCGATGCGTACGCACACGTTTTGTTGGCCACGCATGCACGCTCACACGCTCGGCTAGATTCAGCACACGCTAATGGTATATCGGATCAACTTCGGGTTGTCTATCGGCTATTATATTGAATGGAATTAATAAAAACACGTGTTCTGCATAAATGATTTTAATCTAGGTAATTAACAAATCTGTTATCTGCCGAGTTAACTGGTTGTCATGTGGCTGATCAATTGAAAATGTGGATTTTTCTCCGGGTTCTCCTGTTTTTCCCCTCTACATTTAGAACCAACGTGCATTTAGAGTATTTGGCTGCTATAAATTTCAACCTTAAGAGCCAATTCGTTGAGCTACCATTTGTGGCCAGGTTGCTTGTGAAAAAGAGCTACATAGCTCAGTGGGCCTTACCTGGTAAAATAAAAAGTTGAGTTGATCCGTTATACAAGCAGTTGTAGAATCCAAAAAATATATTTCCATATATGCTTGGCAACCCTGTCACAATACTTAAAACTAATAGCACGATGTGATTTATCAAACCATGTACAGCTGTTTTGAGTTAAGTTTGTACTACTTGCCGATGAAACTGTATGTGGACGCTCCGGATAAAAAGTGGTATCAAAGTAAACATTTAGGTTTTATTTTATTGAACTTCACAGTTACTGTATTCTCTGGATCATAAGTCACTTTTCACCCTGTATTTTAAAGAAAAAGTTGGGAGTTCGTCTTTTAATCAGGTTAGCAGCATGCCTGTGTCGACACAGATTTTTGTGTAATATTTTTTTATTGATAATGGGAACAGGTCTGGGGTGATTTTTGTTTATCGGAGTAATCTAGAGAATGCAGCTACACACGTCCTCCTTCATTGGACCCGAAACACAAAAAACAGCCTGGAGCTCATTTTGTTATTCTTTTATTTACTCAAGAAAGCCTCGCAGAGTTCTTCAGGCTGTCTTTAAGAGTCCTGCCCTGTGTTCACAGTCGGGTGCCATTTTGCTGTGTGTAATCACAACTTGAATGTTGCAGTTAACCTTTCAGCATTGAGATGTTTGGTCAATACCATTTACACAGTATATATATTTTTTAGCTGTGGGAGGAACCCACAAACCCAGAGGAAACCCATGCACAACAGAGGGATAACATACCAACTCCACGCGGAAAGGCACCCGAGTCGGGAATCAAACGCAGGCCCTTCATGCAGCGATGTGCAAGTGTTCCCATTGTCCCACCCTGACGCCCAACTCCTGCCAAAATGTTGACAGCCCGTTAGACAGCCTCTAGAGCTCTTGAGGCTGTTAACCCCCCCCGCCCCCCCCCCCCATTTGTCACATAACCTACACGAATTGCACAACTAAAACGTGGTTAGTAGCGCAACTGAAATACAAGGACGGGGTTGAAGAAAAAACTCGTGAAGACTGGTAAGGCGCATAGTGTAATATGCTCAGAAACGTGGACCCTTGAAAAAGGCAGACGCTAAGAGACTGAAACATCTAAGATGTGGGGATTGTGTGCCACCACATGGAGAAAATAATAGAAATAGAAGTGAGGGAGTTTGAGACCTGACTGAGAGAGAAGCCTCTTGAGAACATCTAGACCAGGCAAGCGAGGTGGTTTGGGCACATTTTTGCAAAGTGGACGCCTGATGACGGAGGCTCGGGAAGGAAGTTGGGAAGTTGGCCAAGAGGCAGGAACAGACAAATGCTGCTCGACTTGAATGAAGTGGAAGGATGTGTGGGGGGGGGGAACTTACGGTCACATAGAGAAAAGTTTATGATCAGACGAGATCGAGGGAGATTGGGCCAAACACCGGGCACTTGGCAGACACATCAAGGAGGAAGGTGCTACAGCATCAGTGGATGCTGCCGTGTCTACTTTCAGGTTGCGGAGCAACAAAAATGAGACCCTGGTTTGGAATCGACCTCGTCAACAACACAACCTGAGAGACTGGCTGCACCTCAGAAAACGCCTGTTTAAACTATATGTTTTTAATTTTGTGTATTATAACTGATGTAAACTTGATGCAACTTCCGACAGATTAGCACAGGATCCAACAACATTGCCAATACGGTAGAAATTCGGAGATCGAACGCCCCAGAACTCGAACAATTCGGTGACCCAACACAATTTTCGACCATTTTTTTTGCCCCGGACATCGAACAAAAATTCGGAGGTCGAACAACTTGAAAGAAGCTGCGTGGGCCGAGACGCGTATCCAGGGCGACCGAGACGCGTAACCAGGGCGACCGAGACGCGTATCCAGGGCGACCGAGATGCGTAACCAGGGCGACCGAGACGCGTAACCAGGGCGACCGAGACAAAGGCGAATGACCCAGTTCACGCGTGGCTCTCGCCCAGTGCAGACCCGCCAAAATCATCGTTCCGTTAACTTTTTCCTCACCACCTTCCACTCAAGCCATCCACTCTCCTTACTACAGGTAAAGTGACGTTCAATGTTCATTTATTCTATTAATTATAACTGTTTTTGTACGCTTTTATGTACTGTACTGTATTTTAATATTGTAAACTTTGTGTAAAAATGGCCCATAATAGCATCTTTGGAATGGGGAACCAATTAATACTATTTCCATTCATTCTTATGGGGAAAATTGATTCGGTGTTCGAACACGGTTTTGGAACGAATTAAGTTTGATCTCCGAGGTACCACTGTAATCAGTAGTTACTTTTCAACATTTTTTTTCCCCCCGACACAACTGGATTTGTTGCAGAAACACTCGGTGCAACCTGAAAACACATCGGAGAGCGAGAGGCACCGCACCCCCAAACAGGTGGATTTAGCAGCACGCATTGCTCGCCGAGGCCACCGGCCTCGACAGCCAAATCATGTGACTGCCAAGGGTTGAGAGCCATTGCATGTGCAGCGCGGAGCAGTGGTAGCCCTCGCGCCTCGCGGCAAGGAGTTCCTGCGTGGAGTTTGTCTGTTCTCCTGTCCTGCACGGTTACTAAAACTAAACTGAGCTATTTAGCTCTCTTTCAGAAGCGACCTAGCCACAAATTATAGCCCAATGAAGTGGCTTATGTAGAAATTTATGGCAGCCAAATACTCTTAAATGCATGATTCTAAATGTGGAGGGGAAAAACCGGAGGACCCAGAGAAAAAATTCACGTGACCACGGTGAGAGACACGCAAACTCCAAATACACAGCAGCAGGCGTCGGGGTCGGGATAGAACCCACGACCTCCTGCATACCAGGCGAGGTAGTTAACATCTCCCCACCGCAGATACAGTCATTACGAAACGCATTCGCAAGATAAATCTGCCGATGCTCGATAGAACCGTGCGGGGAGGGGGGGTGGTGGGACACTGGCAACGGCTCAGTCGCTGTCCCACTCGCTGGGTGCAAGCGGCATGAAGTCGCGCGACACGTCGTACTCGTAGCCTGCGTCGCCGGGCTTCAGGCGACGCCGCTCAAAGCCGCGGTCCATCTCGCGCTTGCTCAGCACCAGCGCCGCGTCGCTCACGCCGTTGAGGTCCTCGCCGCACCCGCCCAGCGACTCCTGCCGGCCACGCGGTGACGGTGTGTGAATCCCGTCCATGCGAGCCGATCTGGAGATTCTCGGCAGCTCGGGATCCGACGCGAAAGGAACACTGGCGACAAACTCTGGGCGAACTGCAACGTCTGGAATGCGCATCGGATCGCTGAGTGTGTGTAGGTGTGTGCTCACCCGTATTCTCAGCAGCAGGCGAGTGAGTTGAGTGGTGGACAGCTGTCGGATCAACTCTCCATGTCGCTCACTTTGCCCGAGTCTCTCCACGGTTTGAGGGACATCTAGCTCGCACACACACAACATCAGCATCTTAACAACTCGCTATCATTCCGTTTGTTTACCAAGGACAGCCTCAATGTGCAATTCCAATTGAGTCATTTTCAGGTACTTTGTCAGCATTGGGATATTTGGCCAATGATAGATAACGCTGCAATTTTTTTTCTGATGGGAGGAAACCTCAGAACACGGGAAAAAACCCATGCAGGACAGGAGGACATACAAACTCCACGGAGGAAGGCGCTTGAGTCGGGAATCGAACCCAGGGACTTCTTGCTTGTGATGTGGTGTTGCACGTGCAATGCTCTCGACCCTTCAGAATCAGAATATTTATACTGGAGGAATCCGATAAGCTTTTAAGATATTTTTCAAATATCCAGTAGGGGCAGGTCAGAACGTTGCAACAACACTATACGCAAAACCCTTGACAGTCACATGATCAGCTGTTGAGGCTGGAGTCTTAGGCGAGCAGCTAAATGCGCTTGCTTCTCGACCTGCATGCACGCTCCTGTTGTCGTGGATTTTCTCCATCATTTACAGGAAGTATTGTTGACTCGCTCATAATCCTCAACGTATTCTACTCTTGCGTACAGGCAATATGTTGCGCAGCGAAATGCCAAATGCGAGGTCTGCTCGCCACGAGACGGCTTCATTAGAGGGTTGTCTCGTCTGGCTACGCCTCCGTTGAAGGAGCTCTGACTACAGTGGTTTAATATATGTTCGAACGGTTTGGCCTGCTGGGTCACAATCGTACTACTCTGGCTTTGTGCCTTTAATTTTCCGTGTATGATTCCCAGTGTGGTAACTACATTATCAGCTCGGGGGGTGGGGCAATCGATGAGGTGGAGCCCCAATATTTGCGTTGTCTCGCTGGGTCGCACCCCTAGAGGCTATTATATATCGTGGCTCCTCTTGCCTAGGGGGGCCGTCCATAAATGACATCACGCACCAGGGGGCGGGGGTCAGACAATTGTGACGATGTGTGAGAAGGGGGGGGGTTTAGAAATGTGACGTCACATCAAAATGCGCAACTTTAAATAAATATAGACAACACATTCTACTTAATTAAATAGACTTTTTGATGTTTTCTCCTACAACAGAGTGCAGCGCCACATTAAATACGCACTACGATGACAATAGTTGAAAGCGATTTGAAGCATGTTTTAGATTTTTTTTGGGGGGGGGGGGGGCAGAGCTTTGTGACGTCATATTTGAGAAGGGGGTCTGACTTTTTGTGACGCCGTGTGACGAAGGCGGGAGGGGGGGGGTCAAAAATCGTCCAAAATCGCGTGACGTCATTTATGGACGGCCCATAATCACAATCTTTACTGCTCACGGTCTCGAACATTCAGCGCTGTAGGGACGCTCCATCTCCGCGAAGTTTGTTCTTTAACACTGTTGTTGACAACATATCTCACACGGTGGTGTTCAAGGCGGTTCCAACCGAGGTGGGGGGGGGGGGCAGGGCAAGGCACCCCCAGCCCCCCGACGCTCGTCATTCTGCAGATGACTCCACTCGTGAAGAAGATGTGCGCATCGGCCCGTTGTTGTTGTGCTTTCCGATGCGCTTGCCAATTGTGACCACCGTCGCCTTCGAGGAGGAGGGGGAGGAGTGTCAAAGCCAGGACGAGGTGCGATGTCGAATGAGGAGGGAGGGTGGGGGGGGGGTGTTGTGGTTTTTTTTTTGTACTCTCACCGGAGAATGCGGAGAACGCGCGGAGCGGGACGATTCTGCGACGCACGCGGCCCGAGTCGTGCTCCGCGTAGTCGAGAACGAGCGCGGGGGGGCTCAGCCGCACCCCACAGCGCAGCGGCACGTGGGGGGGCATGGGCTGTGACGGGGTGGGGAGGGCAGAGACATTATTTTTCTTCAAAATCCCCCGTATATAGAGAGCCATAACAGAACGTTGGCGAAAGTGCTGTAAGCGAGCACCTTTCAAGGCTGGCACGGTACACGAGGGAGTGGGTGGCCAGCACCATGCCCGACCGCCTTTGTTCATAGTTCATGAACGAGAAAACATCTTTGTGTCCCCAGTGGCTGTTTTTACACACTGCACCATGTACTCATTTGAGGCTGAGTCGACCTAAGACAGGCCCAGAACCGGATCAGATAATGGCCATTGGTGTTGGCCGTGAGCGCGAATCGAACGCGGGTCACCAGGTTCGCAGTGTAGCGCAGTTAGCTTACTGCAACACTACAGACTGGGGGTGGACACATACAGACACACCTACACTCGTAACACAGCTCAATATTCGTGCACAACACGGTGGCCTTAAACGAAAACATTAAGCAGACGACGTTTCGAGCAATTGTCCTTCATAGCTCTTCACAGCACCAGATAAAGTGGAAAAGAGTTGGATACTTAAACGCACAGTAATGAATGTGCTCAGAATTTTTTTAGGGGTCAATTCATTGTGTGGGGGGGGGGGGGGGAGTCACAAGACATCTGGACCACCCTTTCTTTCGGTTTAATGTATATGCAGAGCAACAACTCTACAAAATGGGACCTTTTTGTTGTTGTTGTTGCCAGTATCCAAGTATGAAAAACAACTCTACAACTTGAAAACAACTCTACAACTTCACATTGAAGGTGGCCCAAGTCAGAAGAAGCAGCCGAGGTATTATCGCTGCGACGATGCCTCCTATATTCTTAGTTTTTTCGGTAAAGTCACGTTGAAGAGAAACAACAAAATAACAAAATATATATAAAACAATGACTTTACCGAAAAAACTAAGAATATGAATTACTGCAGTCACGAAAGCTTTAAATCAAAAGATGCCTCCTATACTTGGCATTTGTGTGGCACGTTTGTCACGGTCCGTTCTGGGTATTCCACAGTCGCACACTACTTCTGGAGAGTTTTACATTTCCCATTTGTGCATCAGAGGGCCGTCCATAAATGACGTCACGCACCTAGGGGGGGGTGGGGGGGGTTGTGGGGTCAGACATTTGTGATGATGTGTGACGATGGGGGATGGGGGGGTGTTGAGAAATGTGACGTCACATCAAAATGCGCAACTTTAAATTAATATAGACAACACGTTCTATTTATATTCTTTGTTCTTTCGGTAAAGTCACCACGTAGAAGGGAAACAATAAAATAATAAAAATATAAAACAATACAATTCTCCATAATAAAGGTTGTTTGGGTTAGATCGCGTTATTTATAAATGTGTCGTAACCCTCCACCACCCGACACGGCCAATCAGCAAAAAAAGTGTCACGTTGACAAAAGACAAATAGTTCACTACTTTAGCCCACCGGTGTGTTGAAGAGTGAATCCACAACATTTACAGTTTGAGTACGACGTTTCGCTGGTAATTACATCCAGCATCATCGGGCAATTCTCACGACATTTCGACTGCAACACAAGCAATCATCATCAGGTGTGAAAACCACAGCAAGAAATTTACTTAATTAAATAGACTTTTTAATGTTTTCTCCGACAACATCAGAGTGCAGCGCCACATTAAATACGCACTACAATGACGATAGTTTAAAGCGATTTGAAGCATGTTTTGTATTATTTTGGGGGGGGAGGGGCAGAGCTTTGTGACGTCATATTTCAGGGGGGGTCTGACTTTTTGTGACGGAGTTGGGGGGGGGTCAAAAATCGCGTGACGTCATTTATGGACGGTCCCACAGGCACCCGCTGCTTCTGCTTCCGCCGTGAATTGTGCAGTGGATGCGGGTTCGGGAGGGGGGGGGGGTCTGAGCCATTAGAGAGCTTCGTGAAAGATTAAAAACAAAAGCACCCCAGCCTGGTTACACGGGGGGGGGGGGCCTCTGACCCCCCTTCCAACTTTACACTCCACGCTGTGCGTCCACGCGCCGGCGGATTTGGCTGACGCTTAACGAAGAAGGGTGGCTCCGTTTAACGATAACAGCGCAAATTACTAACGACGTTGACGCTTTAACGCCGTAGGCTTTCGCGACCAATATCATCCATCCATGATAAGAGGTGGGGGTTTTTTGTGTGTGGGTTAGATCGCTTAAATGTGTCGTTAAAACCCGCCCACCACACCGACACGGCCAACTAGTAAGGGTTGTCACGTAAACAGAACGTGCCAATTCGTGGAGGGTTTTAACGACACATTTATATATTTACGCGATCTAACCCCCCCCCCCCCCCCAAAAAAAAAAAACCTCTATTTTGGGTGCCGTTGACGCTGATCATTCATTCCTTACCGTCCGCTTGCTTTTCCCAGTCCGTATAGGCGCCAGCACGAAGCTGATTGGTCGAGCCACCCAGGGGTGGGGGTGGGGGAGTCTCACACGTTGCTGGTCACGTGCTCCTTGCCGCGCGCCCATGCGCACTACGAAATGTAAAACGGATGTATCCAGGGGCAACAGATGCCCAATGACGTCACTACAGATGGTGAAACGTGTATTCATTTTTTTTTATAAACATGTTTTTTTTTCTCTCGATCTTTTCGTAACTCGTACGCGGTTAACATATAATTGGTATTTAGTTTTGTAGATACTTTTTAATTATCAAATAAAGCCAATGTTTATTTTTTCAACAAAAGATTTACGACGTCCTGGCTCACGTGGCGAGGGGAAGACGACGTTTACCTGACGTCATGCGGCGCGCACAATAACATTATAACTAACCACAATTATGTTTAAAATACGAGATTTTCACCGTTAAAATATATCCAATTGTTTTTTATAATAAATTATAATTGATTTATAATGTTCAATGAAGGTTGTTGGTGTAAATTGTAATAACATCCGGTTACGGCGCGCGGCTAATGACGTAACTTCCGATCTCGCGAGTCGTGGGAAGTTTGGGAGGGGGGGCTGAGTGGGAGGGGTTCGAGATCTCGCGAGAGGTAGCTGGTGGGGGGGGGGTCACAGGCTCGAAATATCGCGAGATTTCTTACGAGATTCCCTTTCTCCTCGGGGATCTACAGGTAATGGCTGCGTCTTGCCTCGTTCGTCGCCCTCAATCCGTTGTCAATCTCTGCCATCCGCCCCCGTCGGGGCGACGTTTGCGCGCGAATCGCTTGGCAATGGCGAGGGGGGCCTTTCTTCTCGCTCTTGTTTCAGCGATGAGCGATTTTGTACGCGAACCCACTTAACGCGACTTCGTTGTGAGGCCTATGAATGTCGGGCCTGTGTCAGTGAGGCTTCAGTCTTCGTTAGAGCCCGAGTTGTGATTAATCTTTGCACTTTGTGGTTTTGTTTTGGCTGTTAATGGTCTACTGATTTGGTGATAATCGGCTTATTTGATCATTAGTTTTAATAGTGTTCTACCGATAGGCCACGATCGAGCTATCGCTTCATCGATTGTTATGCAGTACTGCACTCTGGTTATAAATGTGTCGATTCTTACTCAAACGCCTGCGACAACATCACTCGGCAGTGCACTAGGTCTCATCGGATGTTATTAAAGCTAAGCGGGGTTTATTCTGAAGAGTACTTGGATGGGCGACTGCCATGCATAACGGTGTTTATAGGTGGCCCACATTAAGTTGTCGGCATGGGAGCGCAGTGCAACAAGTTTTAGTTGTGCAGTACCTCCTATGCGCGCACATACAATGTTCCCCACTCTTTACTGTCCCCGTACTGTTGGTGAATTATTGTTCGTATAACCACCACAGAGAGGCCCTCACCTAGGAGTGAATTGAGACGGTTAATGTACTTGTCCATTGCCTCCGAACTAAAGAGACAAACGAGGCAGAGTGTGTGGTACACATCAGACTGAATTTGAATTCTACATTAAGCGATTGCGTGGTTAGATACCACATGTAAGTACGGCGTGTGCGTACTTGTCCAGGAAAGCCTCGCTCGAAGGGCCCTGTGACATTGGGATATTTTGTACACGAATTCAACCGAGGGCGTTTGCCCGAGTGTCGGAGGACGCTAAAGAACTCGGGAGAAATCGCACCCCGCATCGAACGAGAGGGATTGAAGGCTTTAACAAACAGAAGTCTGTGCACAGATGGATTCAGGAATATTGCTGCACTGGTATTTCCATGCCACCTCGCAGCCCCAAGCATGCACAGGAAATCTCCCATCCCGAGTACTACACTGCTTTGATTTAATGGTCTTTTTTTGCGGTACGCGTGTGTGTGTGTGTGCTTGTTTGTTTGACTGTGTACGTGCATGGGCGGCCTGGCGTGATGTTGACCAGCAATCCCCTCGTGTGCCGTGCCGGCCTTAATAGGTGCTCGCAAACAGCACTTGCCCCGACAGTCTGTTAAGGCTACACGGGGGATGTTGGTCTGTACGTGCGCGTATGTGTGGGGATTGGTGGAGCAGTGCTTAGCAGCCAGTCACGTCTGCGCCCAGATCTCCCGCTTGGTCGACTCGGCACTTAAATTGAGTAACCTGGTGCAGTGTGTATAAACATCCGCACTGAAGAGACTACTACCCAGTGGAAAATCACCTGCACCGTGAGGGGGGGGGGGGTCCCCGTTCGTGTGCCAGTGAAAAAAATAGGATATAAAGTCACGACTAAACTTTCTGTGGGCGGGAGGAGGGGGTGAAAATTGTACGGCGATCAAGACTCGTACCTCGCGCCGGTCGTAACAAGCGCTCGCTGCTGCTGTTGTTGTAGGAGCCATGGGGCGCGTGATTCGCAGTCAGCGCAAAGGCGCCGGGTCCGTGTTCCGCGCTCACAACAAACACAAGAAGGGGCCCGCTCGCCTCCGCGCCATCGACTACGCCGAGAGGCACGGATACATCAAGGGCATCGTCAAGGTGGGCACATGGGCTGCTGCACACTCCACATTAACGCAACCGCACTAGATACTCCACAAACGCATGCACCAAGTGCAGTTTTCCCGGCCACGCGAAGTTAGGAAGGTGCACTGCCGACAGGACACAGACCCAGGTGTTAGGGGTTGACTAATTTAAATGACTGGCAGATCCACACCACCTTGTGCTCCTCGCTGTATTTTAGTTGCCTGGCGCTCTGTTCGCTGTTGTGAGCGTCGCTCGTTCGCCCTCTGTTGTTGCTCGAGGGCGACATCCTCCCAACTACCCAGTAGCGTCCTTCACGAGCCACTACACCAACACCACCGCGCACAACCACAGTGCAAACCCCAATTAGTCTTACAGTGCCCAACACGCACCGTAATTAATACACCACTAATACTAGCACACGGCATATTTCCACACGGCGAGGGTAAGGCTTCTCACTGATGGTGATATGCTGTCACTCAGTGGTGCTATGAGGTGGAAGCCTGAAGGAGTTAGTGCCGTGCAGCAAATAGGTTTACACCTGTCCCCTCCACTGTAAGTAAATCAAGTTTGGAAAAAACTATACATGAGGACATGTGATGCTTTCCTTAACGCTTTTGTCTTCAGAAGTTTTTCACTGGCAGTACAGAAGCCTACAGGTAGCTGTTGGGAAAAATGTCTTTACAAATATTCAATTAATCCTTATAGCACTATATTTCGGCTAAACCCCTTTTATCAGGGTTGCCTGATTGAATAGGACAAGTCCCTAATAGCAGCAGAACTTTACACTCACGTTTTAAATCGTCGTTGTAAAGTGTTTTAAAGCTGTAAATATGTGTGTCTGACCAAAGGACATAATCCACGACCCTGGCCGCGGAGCTCCCCTGGCTAAGGTCATGTTCCGGGACCCGTACCGCTTCAAGAAGCGCACGGAGCTCTTCATCGCGGCCGAGGGCATCCACACGGGGCAGTTTGTCTACTGCGGCAAGAAGGGTACGGCCTCGCCACAACACTCACCACGACACTCACCCGACCACTCGCTCTCCACTCATGACTCACTTTAACTACTCCCCACGACGTTCACTATACTACTTCACCACAATGCTCACGAAACCGCTCGCTGTGCAACTCACCCTGTCACTCATTCCACTGCTCGTCAAAAGGCTCAATATACCACTCGTCACGAGGCTTGCTATATCACTCATCACGACGCTCACCTCACTACTCACCCCTCAGCTCACCTCACTAATTTCACGTCTCTAAATACCATGATGCTGTACGTATTCGGATAAACTTGACTTTCACCCACACTGGGATGCTGATGGTGGCGCATTCAATTGCACGTTTGTGCAAATAAAATTTTACCATACATTGTGGCGCTACGAGGAGACGAGAATGTATGCATTTTGAACTTCTTTCGCACCGTACGTAGCCAACCGTGCTAAGCGTAGGTCCGATTTTGTGACGGTAGTTCTCACCCTATAGTCGAAGTAGCAGTCCCAGCCCTGTAATATACGTGTTGCCCACTAGCCCAGCTGAGCATGGTCACTCTTAAGAAGAGTTACATCAGTAGCTTTAGTAAATTGGGTTGTCGTTTGGTCCACCAGTTAGCCCAGCTGGGTGGGCAGTATGGGGTCTGTGATTGGTGGACGCTGTCAGCACAGTGGTTACTGTGGATGTGATGGACGCTGGTGGGCTCTATGAATGGGGTTGTTATTGTGCTTGGGTTGGTTACGTCTGTTCTGTTAATGTGATGGCAACTGTTCGATTCCCGTTTACGGCCAACACAGCGGCGAATATCTGAACCGGTCCTGGTCTTCCCCTAGATCGACTCAAGATTAAATGAGTACTCGGTGTGTGTGTTGTGTAAACATCAACACTGGGGAGACAAAGACGGCTGGGCGTGGTGTTGTCCACCCAGCCCCCTGTGTGCTGTCTCGGCCTTTATAGGTGCTCGCTAACGGCACTTGCCCATTTGATCTTTATGGTGGTACCCCGGGGTACCAAATAATACAAAATGGCCAAGGCAATTAGACATTTTATTTCTGGGACACTATTTTTTTCAGGGGTGTACTTAACTCCGCGACTGAGGTACCAATTAATCCGAAATCAGTGATACTCCGCAATGTCGAAATGCAGTGAGGACGATTGCGCTGAAACCCTGAACACTCGTACGCACCATAGTGCATCGTGTACAGCTCGTCGAGATGAGTCGATTGCCACATCGCCGACCATCAACAGACTAAAAATGACTGCATCACGGACATTATGCCATGAGGGTCATTTGGGCTTATATGGAAGATATTTGTCTTGGGTGGTAATTGTGAATGTGATGGTTTCTCTGAATATAGTTGACACTAAATGCGGTGAGTACTGTGACTAATGGTGGTTATTGTGAATGCGGTGATTACTGTGGTTGTTTCTTGCCACCTGTAGCCCAGCTAAGTGTGGGGAACGTGCTGCCTGTGGGCGTGATGCCCGAGGGCACCATCGTGTGCTGCGTGGAGGAGAAGAGCGGAGACCGGGGGAAGTTGGCACGCGCCTCAGGGAACTACGCCACCGTTATCTCACACAACCCCGACACGCACAAGTCCCGCGTGAAGCTGCCCTCGGGCGCCAAGAAGGTCATCTCCTCCGCCAACCGCGCCGTCGTGGGTACGTGACACTAGCGGGGGGGTGGTGGCTGGTGGGATGTGCACGGAGCGAGGTGTTTGTGGGGTTTGTGGGTACTAGGTTTTGTTTATGTGATGTCTTATGCGTGTGCCGGTTGTGTGCGTGGGGAGCGGTAGTGTAGCAGTTAGTGCGCCGCACTACAAGTCCGGCGACACGAGTTCGAATCCCACTCACGACCAACACAAGTGGCGATTATCATAACAAGTTCTGGGCCTCTCCTAGGTCGACTGAGCCTCAAACGAGTCCTTGGTACGGTGTGTAGACATTGCCACTTGGGAGACAGTCGGCCGGGCGTGTTGCTGGCTACCCACCCCCTCATGCTGTGCCGGCCTTCATAGGTGCTCACAAACAACTTGCCCCAAAAGTTTAAGGCTGTATGAGGGATTTTTGTCTTTGTAGTGAGTGTGGTGTCTTTTTTCATGTCTGTGTAGAGTGTGTAGATGCGTGTGTATGGGTACGTGTGTGTGTGTTTGTGTCTCAAAATTGAATCTTACATCAACGGTCCTTACCTGAAATAAATTGTGACCTCTGTTATGGTATGTGTACTGTGTGGTGCGTATTTTGTGTCGTCTGATTTGGGGTGTGATGTGTGTGGCAAGTCCGTGTTGCAGTGTCACTGATGATGTCTAATATGATGGGTGTTTTGTGGTGTGGTCTCCGTTGTGTTGCGTCCAGGTGTTGTGGCTGGGGGTGGTCGCATTGACAAGCCGATCCTGAAGGCCGGTCGGGCCTACCACAAGTACAAGGCCAAGAGGAACTGCTGGCCTCGCGTGAGGGGTGTGGCCATGAACGTACGTACTTGCACACGAGCACTCGTGCACATGCGCATTGAAACACAAGCACAATCACTTGCATATACATTCGTATATACAAACACGTGAGTACACATACAAAAATCCCCAGTTTAGCCTTAATAGACTGGGGGCAAGTGCTGTTAGTGAACACCTTTGCAGGCCGACACCACGCCCAGCCGCCTTTATCTCCCCATTGGCGATGTTTACACACCATACAAGGTACTCCAATTAGCAGGGTTGGCTAGGTATGCTGCCACAAGTTCAACATACGTACTCAATTTAGTCTGAGTTAACTTAGGGGAGGTCCAGAACCGATTCGAACTCGGGTCGCCGGGTTCGTAGCACAGTGCGCTAACCTTTGCAATCCCGCTCCCCACTGTCACATGTGAGCACATTCTCAAGTCAGTGCGGAAACGAACACGCTGAACGCGGCTGAAGTATCAAATGATTTATGTAACAGCCAAAATAAAAATGTTCAATTCAATATTGGTTGGTTGTTTACCAAACCATCGATCTGTGCTCACTCACGCTTGCATTGTCCACCACCACAGCCCGTGGAGCATCCATTCGGTGGAGGAAACCACCAGCACATTGGCAAGCCGTCCACCATCCGCAGGGACGCGCCGGCGGGTCGCAAAGTGGGTCTCATCGCTGCACGGCGCACAGGTCGACTCCGCGGAACCAAGGTGGTGCTGGACAAGGAGAGCTAAGCGCCACCGCCATGCGACCGTGTGCCGGCGGGACAGTCCACGCGACCGCCAGCATGACCACCGTCACGGTCACCGCCGGCATTTGCGTGCGTCTGCATGTGGTGCCGTCAATAAAGACTTCCACGTTTTTGGAAAAGAAGAGTGCTTGAGTGGTGTGGTGTTCTTTGTGGGTTTCTGGTGGTGGTGTTGGTGTTGGGGCTAGTACAGAGGTCGGCAACCAAAACAACAAGAAGAGGATTTTTTTTCAAATTCGGTAAAAGCTATTTCAAGAGCCGCAATGCATGTGAATACAAGACGGTCCTTAACGTCGCTCAAGTCTTTATAGAGCAGCATGTAGCTCTGGATCTGTAAGTTGCCGACCCTGGGCTAGTGTCTAGATATGGAGAGCGGTGGTGCAGGGGTTAGCGTGCTACACTACAAACCCGGCGTCATGAGTTGGATTCCTCATGCACAACACTCGTGATGACTTTGAACCAGTCCTGGGACTCCCCTAGGCTTGACCGGTCTCAAATGAGTACCTGATGCAATGTATAAACTTCACCATTCGACAGTCATATGTAGTGCTAACCACCCTAATGTGTGCCTTGGCCGGCTTTTATAGGTGTTTGCTAACGGCACTTCCCTCGACAGTACGCGAAGGCTATAACATGGGGATCTTGGTGTTTAAATGTGAGTGATAATGTGCGGATAGAAGGATCTATTCACTGTTGGATTTCACGAAGCTGTCACCACCCCCAAATCCTGAATTTCAAGAGTCCGTCTAGCTCCAAATATACTTTTGTAATAGCATTTTCTCAGTCCACTGCAGGATGAAGGCCTCTCCATGCTGCGTCAGTCGGGTCTTTTTTTACCACACACCACATGGTGTGGGTTGGCAACGGATGGGGGTCCAGGTTCTGTTCGGACATCGTCGCTGCTGATTGTCGTGACTTGGAATTGAACTCCCGATTTGTGGGTTCAAAGTTCAGTGCGCTCAACTTCGCTGGCGCACACCAGTAAGAGTACACGGGTGACTCGCGTCTGTGTGTTCCTACAATGTAACAGCAACATGCTAATTCGCTCAAATAAAAACGTTGATCTATTCGGGCGATACTCCCTGCTACGACATGGATTGGATAAATGCGCATTGACCAAGAAAATGTAACGATCCGTGTGAACTACAAAAGAGGCCGGAAGATATGCAGGCTTGTAATTTACACAGGGGACGGGGATTCGAGAAAGGCAACCTTTTATTTGTGGCACACCACGAGAAGGGGACTAGAGGCAGAAGAGTAGGAAATGGGAATGGAAGTCTTAAGACTGACAAAGTGGGGGGGGGGGGGTGGCACAAGACGAGCATCAGGAAAGAGCCGCTGGGGGAACGAGGAGAATGAATGACGTTGGGGAATGAGAGGGAGAATCGGGAAGTGAGCTTGCACCGGACAGCGTCGGTTTTCACAGTGGGCGGGGCGAGTGGAGGGATTTACAATGGGGCTGGTCACACGACCAGCCCCATATATATACATATACGGGAGGTTTGATCCCATTTAGAGACACCGATGCGTTAGAGACGTTGCGTGCGAATGGGCTCGGACGCAATGGTTCGCCCAGCAGGTGCGATGGTCGTGATTGACGACGGAGCAGCAAGCCAATATGTGGCGAAACGACCCAAGAAGGACGTTCGACCAAAGGGAGATTTAGAGCGATGAATTAGGCTCGTGCGTGCAGGAGCGAGATTGATTAATTGCAGGGTCATGGGAGATAGCGAGGTCATTCACCCAGCAGTGGATCGATCGTGGCTGATGTCGATTGATTGCTAGCCAGCGGTGGTGGGGAGGAGGAGGGAAGGGAATGAATGTCGAGTCGCAGTCGTTTGCGACTTCGCAATAGCCAACCCATTATCAGTGCCCTGCCTTATTTACAGACCAATTGAGACCTTACAGGTCAGCCCGTGCCCCTTGTAAATCTCAACGTTCATCCTACAAAGGCCCACGACAAGCGAGAAACACAAATAGACAAACATTTGTGTTGCCCATATTTGTGGGCCCGAAAACTCAAATTCCCATGTGCTCTATACGGGGTTGACGCGTAATGCAATTGCGTTAAGCAGCCCGCGGTAGGTGGTACTCATTTGAACGACCAACGAGAGACGATTATGAAGATGAGGGTTGGGTAAAGGCGATCACAAACAGCATTATCTTGGATTCGAACAAACAGCAGTAGTTTCACAAACTCACGAATCCTATACTTGTCAGCGGTGGCAATTACAAAAGCTCTCCCAGTGCGTTTATCGATGCTACCAAATGCAATCGCCTCGCTGCGTAAACGCATTACCGCTTTCCGCGTTTGACAGATTCGCACGCTTGCCCCCCTAATTTTTAAGATCGATGCGTTTATCGATTCATGTTATGAAATATATTATGCGTGTAAGCAGACAACAAAGCTCGCTTAATTTTTTTTCTGGAGAATAATGTTAACGGTAATACAATTTATACGGTAACATTTTGGTGATGGTGCGCACAAAACAAACACAAAAAAACCTCAACACGTTCGTCAATAACAATAGCAACAACAACAATGCGTGTGGCCTCCTTAAAAGTAAAACAATATATATTAGGCGACATTTCGGGCAATGGCCCTGCACCTGGAGTGAGTCCAATACAGGATGGTGATGTTCCAGATGTCTTGTGACCCCCCCCCCCCCCCCCCCCACAATTAATTAACCCCCACACGATTTAGTTTGTTCCTTTGCGCAGTAACTTCTGTTTTAAATAAGAACCTTACTTTTAAATAATAAAAAAAGAGACGTGATGAAGTTGTAAAGATTTAGAAGTACCCGTCGGAATAGTCATCCGTGGCGAATGTGAAGGCTCCCAATCCCGAGACACGCGAGGCCAACGATGGCAGCGGCGGCGGCAGCAGCAGCGATGGCGGCTCCGGTCAGCATGGAAGTCGACACTGGCACCCCGGGTAACAACAACAACAAACAACAACAACCAGAGAACAACAATAGCCACCACAAGCACACCGGGCACAGGCGGGAGAGGCTCAATGAGAGGCGGGCGATGTCCGAGCCGCGCTTGTGCTCGATGCTGGCGTGTTTATCGCGGCCGGTGAATCCGCGGGTCAACTCGCTCGGTCATCTCACTCGGTCAACTCACTCCGTCAACCCGCTCGGTCAACCCGCTCGGTCAACTCGCTCGGTCAACTCGCTCCGTCATCTCACTCCATCAACCCGCTCGGTCATCTCACTCCGTCATCTCACTCGGTCATCTCGCTCGGTCAACCCGCTCGGTCAACTCGCTCGGTCATCTCACTCGGTCATCTCACTCGGTCAACTCGCTCCGGCAACTCACTAAGTCAACTCGCTCGGTCATCTCACTCAGTCAACCCACTCGGTCATCTCGCTCGGTCATCTCGCTCGGTCATCTCACTCGGTCAACCCGCTCGGTCAACTCACTCCGTCAACTCACTCCGTCATCTCACTCGGTTATCTCGCTCTGTCATCTCCCTTGGTCATCTCACTCGGTCAACTCGCGCCGTCATCTCACTCCATCATCTCACTCGGTCATCTCACTCCGTCAACTCGCTCGGTCAACTCACTCGGTCATCTCACTCCGTCATCTCACTCCGTCAACCCACTCGGTCATCTCGCTCGGTCAACTCGCTCGGTCATCTCACTCTGTCAACTGGCTCGGTCAACCCATGGCTGCGTCTGTCTCGTCACCAACCCGCCGGCGAGCGAGCCCCCGACGCTTCCCCCGGTGTGGCCTCAAAGGTGCACCCAGCCTGGCACAGGCGCCAGTGGTGACGTCACAGTCACTTCGCGGCGAGCGGCGGGGCTGTTGTTGTTGGTTGTTTACACCGACGGGGGAGGAGGAGGAAGAGGCCCCGCCACCGTGGAGTGATTTGTGACGAAGTTTTGTTCACTCAAATAGGGGTTGAACGTCCGCGCGGTGGCGGTGGTGGTTGTGGTGTTTATAGCAGTGATGTTGGTGGTTGTGGTAGTGCTGGTGGTGGTTGTGGTAGTGCTGTGGATGGTGGTGGTTGTGGTAGTACTGGTGGTGGTTGTGGTAGTACTGGTGGTGGTTGTACTGGTGGTGGTTGTGGTAGTGCTGTGGATGGTGGTGGTTATGGTCGTACTGGTCGTGGTTATGGTAGTGGTGGTTGTGGTAGTGCTGTGAATGGCGGTTATATCAGTGATGTTGGTAGTGGTTATGGTAGTACTTTATGTGGTGGTGGTGGTGGTTATGGTAATGCTGTGGGTGGTGATGTTGGCAATGCTGATTGTGGTTGGAGTAGTGATGCTGGTAGTGGGCATGGTTGTACTGTTGGTGGTGATGGTCGTTATGGCAGTGTTGTGGGTGGTGATGTTGGTGGTTGTGCTGATTGTGGTTATAGTAGTGCTCTTGGTGATGTGCTGATCATGTTGATGGTGCTGATGTTAATGCTTATGCTGGTGAAGGTTGTGAGTGTGCAAACCCTGATTTGCCAGAGTTGTGTTGGTGATGTTGTTGTTGGTGGTGATGGTACACTTGGTAGCACCATGGAGTGATTGTGATGTCAGGGTGGTAACGCTGATTGCGGCAGTGTGCAGATGGTGCTGTCGGCGATGCGAATGTTGTGATGTCGGCGTTGTTGATGTTGAAGATGATGTCGGCGGTGATGTTGGTGATGGTTGCAGGGGTGAGCGTGATGGCAGTTGCTGCGGTTACGGGCAGCGTCTCCGTGTCGCTCCACCCCCTCGTCATCCTCAACATCTCCGAGCACTGGACCCGACTACGAGCCCAGGAGGGGCGGCCTATGCAAGGTGCCTCCTCCTGCTCCGCTTCATCATCCTGCTCCTCACCCTCCTCTTTATGCTTAACCTCATCATTTTTGATCCTCGATATTCTTAATCTTGTTAACCTTAAAATCCGAATCTTCCTCCTCGTACCCGCGCCCCGGCGGCGAGATGTTAACTACCTCGCCTGAGATATACAGGAGGTCGTGGGTTTAATGCTGACCCTGATGACTGTATATTTGGAGTTGGCATGTTCTCCGCGTGATCGCGTGGCTTTTTGTCCAGGTCCCGCGGTTTTTCCCTCCACATTTAGAATCAACATCACGCGTTTTAGAGTATTTGGCCACGAGAACATTTCCACGTGATAAGCCAATTCGTTGAGCTATCATTTGTGGCCAGGTCGCTTCTGAAAAATAGCTACATAGCTCAGTGGGCCTTACCTCTTAAAATAAAAACAAGTTTAGTTTTGCACATCAACTTCATGATCTTCCTTCTAATCCTATATTTCCTTCATCCCTCCTTCCTGATGATCTCTCCCTCTTAATAATTTCGTCTTTTCCTTCTTCGTTGCGCGTCGTCGCTTTGGGATGTTCTGTTTTCATATTTTTTTTGTTGCGGGTGCACCCGACTTAAGAGCCGCATGGCTCACAGGGCTATACCTAATAACTGAAACTTGAATTACGTGCGAGGCCACTCGATTTTCGAGCTTGCTACCGTACATGATGAAGCTCCAAGCAGTTTCGGTGAAACGTCACCGTGTGTTGATGTTGGATTCAGTCAGGAAAAGTCTTAAGCCAACAGCGCTACCACCACCACCAGTGTGGAGGAGCCGCTTCATTCGTAATAATTCGATCGCCACATTGGCCAATATACAGTAAAACCTTGGATTGCGAGTAACTTGGTCTGCGAGTGTTTTGCAAGACGAGCAAAAATTTTAAATAAATATTAATTTGATAAACGAGCGAGGGTCTTGCAATACGAGTAGCAACGTATACGCTTTGTCTGCCGAGCGTCACGTGATCACACAACTGATATACGTTGTGCTTTGATATACGAGTACTTTGGATTACAAAACACGTTTCCGGAACGAATTATGCTCGCAATCCAAGGTTTTACTGTATGTGTAAACGAGACAATCTTTTAGGGTGGTGAGGGTTAATGACAAGACTTTTTGTGCATAGCTACCACGTGGCCTCACCCCAAAAGCATATACGGATCAGTGTGACGTCATCTTTCATAGCGATGATATCGTGCGCTGCGTGACGTCATCCCGCGCTGCTTGAGACGTAACGATCGCTACCCACGATTGAGTGGTTTCCGGGATCAAAGCCGTGCATTGGCGAGCGTTACGGAGTCCACGCGCACGAGGGTGATCCGTTGTGCTTTGTTGCGCGGGCTCAGTCGTGGGAGCGCTGATCGGGAAGCAGGAGGGGAGAAACATCGAGGTCATGAACTCGTTCGAGCTCCTCTTCACCGAGACGGATGGACGCACGGACATCGACAAGGAGTACTACTACACCAAGGAGGAACAGTGTAGGGCATCACACACGTATACGGACACGCACACATACTGACACAACCGTATGTATACGGTCACGCACACATATGCTGACACTGTTTTTTCCTGGATTTGCTGTTTTTTCCTGGATCTTTCTGTTTGTGCGTAGTCACTTTAAGATGTTTTCCTGTTCCTGTTTTTGTTTGTTGCGGTTGCACCTGATTCAAGAGCCGAATGGCTCACTGGGCTATACCAAATAAATGAAACTGAAACTGAAAACTGACGCACACCCATATGTATACAGACACACCCACATATACGAACATAAAGCTACATGTATGCAGACGCACACGTATACGGACACACACACATGTATACGGACTCACACACATACACGTATACGGACTCACACACACACACACACGTATACAGACAAACACGTATACGGACACACACATATGTATACAGACATATACATATGTATACAGACACACACACACACGTATATGTACACCACACCCAAATTATCACCCTATAGTCTTAACAGACTGTAGGGGCAAGTGCTGTTAGCAAGCACCTATGAAGGCCGGCACCGCACACAAGGGGGTGGGTGGCCAACACGACGCCCTGACGCTTTCGTCTACCCAGTGGCGATGTTTACACACCGCACCAGGTACTCATTTGAGGCTGAATCGAGGCCCAAGGCCAGTTCAGATTATCACCACTGATATTAGCCATGGCCATGAATGGCACTCGGTTCCCTTATGTCATAGCACAGTGTGCCAACCACTGCGCCACCTCTCCCCTAGCACACACACCCATGTATACAGTCGTAGTGAGAGTGTGTAATGAGTGCCGCGTGCGTGGCTCTTTGTGAAGTCAAGCAGGTGTTCAAGGACCTGGACTTCTTGGGCTGGTACACGACGGGGGAGACACCCAACCCCTCCGACATTTACATCCACAAGCAGGTGCATGGGGCCCACTAACAACTCCACTCACCCACTCACTCACCCACCCACTCACCCACTCACTCACCCACTCAACTACATCCTACACACTCACCCACTCACTCATCCACTTACTCACCTACTCGCCCATTACATCCACAAGCAGGCACGTGGGGCCCACTCACCCACTCACTCACCCACCCACTCACTCACTCACTCACCCACTCAACTACATCCTACACACTCACCCACTCACTCATCCACTTACTCACCTACTCACCCATTACATCCACAAGCAGGCACGTGGGGCCCACTCACCCTCCACTCACACACTCGCCCACTCATCCACTCACCCACTCACTCATCCACTTACTCACCTACTCGCCCACTCATCCACTCACCCACTCATCCACCCACTCATCCACTCATTCACCCACTCATTCACCCACTCACTCACCCATTACATCTATATCCACAAATAGTCACACAGTGTCGAATATAAATTTCAGGTGTCCCTTGTACTCTCCCTCTCGTTTGTCCTGTCTATCTTGTATGTATGTGTGTATGCTCTAACTATAATCCCCAACCACCCAAACACTTTGTGTTGTCTTTGTGCACAGATTTGTGAAATAAACGAAAGCCCGATATTCCTGAAGCTCAACCCTCAAACCAAACACACGGACGTGAGTACAGATGCGCACACACACGTGCACAGATGTACATAAACGCACTCGCATACACACACAGGTATATACGTGCACACAGAGGCTAAGATACCCTATATAGCCTTAACAGCCTGTGATGCTGTTCGTGAGCAGCTACGAAGGCCAACACGGCACACGAGGGGGTAGGGCACCACGCCTGCCCCACCTTTGTCTCCCTGTACTGATGTTTACACGCCGCAACAACGATATTGTTCGCGTGATACAATCCTAACGCAGCTGAACCATTTAATAGGAGGGGGGGCGGGGGGAGCATTATGGGGAAGGTGGTCTGTGGCCGCCGTAAACTGGAGGCATCACGACAGGGAGAGGGTGATAAGGCTACGTACGGCGCGAAAGAAGTAAACATACTTACATATTAATGCCCCTAAAAACAATCAGCGTGCATACGGCCGATGTGCGTTTGTACTTCCCCTCCGCATATGATGTACTCAGTTCTCAGTTGAGACTGAGCTGAGTCGACCGGGGAGAGGTCCAGAACCAGTTAGGATAATCGTCACCGACGTTGGCCGCGAGCGGGAATCGAACTCGGGTCGTCGCAGGTTCGTCACGCCGTGCGCGAACCCGCTTCGCCGCCGCTCCCCGCGTACAGGGACACGCAAACGACAACCGGGGAGTCTCGCACAACGGGGACAAGGCAAAGACACGAACACACACACGGCGAGTTGACACGGTGGGCAGCACAGGTGGTGCATCTGCCAGTCGTCTCGTTAATTCATAAAGAGAGGTTACGTTTTTTTTAGTCAGGCCCATGGCACCTGGGTTTAGAGCAGGCAGGGGTCTGCAGCTCCAGAGCCACATGCGGCGGCTCTCTTTAGGGGTTTCTGCCCCGTGATGTTATTTACGAAGGACCACCGTCTCGTATTCACATCATTGCATTGTTGCGGCTCTTGACACGTTGATTTGTTTTTACCGAAATTCTGAAGAACGAAAAATGGCTCCTCTTGTTATTTTGGTTGACGAACCCCCATCCCCCCCCCCCCCCCCCCCCCCCCCTTGGCTGCTATGCATTTCCATGTGATAAGCACTTCGTTGAGTTACCAATTGTGGCCAGGTCGCTTCTGAAAAAGAGCTTCATAGCTTAGTTGGGTCTTACCTAATAAAATAAAAATAGTTTATTATACCAGGTAAGGCCCACTGAGCTATACAGCTCTTTTCAGAAGGGACCTGGCCGCAATTGACAGCTCAACGAAGTGGCTTATTCACGTGGACATTTTATACAGCCAAATACTCTAAGCACATGTTTTGATAAATGTGGAGGAAAAAACCAGACGACCGGAGAAAAATCTACACGTCCACGGGGAAAAACATGGAAACTCCAAAAATACGGGCAGGCATCACTGTCGGGATCGAACCCATGACCTCCTGCACACTAGGCGAGGCAGTTAACATCTCGTGACCTCTTGCCAACTTCCTGCCAGCGGTGAACCTTCCACACTTCACATGGCCTCAAAGTTCACCGAGCCTGGCACAAGCGGCGTGGTGGCGTCACTGCTGCTTGGTGGCGAATGGTGGCCATTGTTGTTGTGTGTCTATGTGCTTACGCGCGCGTGCGTGTGTCTGTCTTAATGCCACAGTTGCCGGTCAGTGTCTATGAGTCGGTGATTGACCTCGTGAATGGAGAGGTGAGAGAGACGTGCACGCAGCACACCTTGAACGCACCCTGCACACGGACACCACAAATAGACACCGCACGCAGACACCGCACGCAGACACCGCACGCGGACACCGCACGCGGACACCGCAGACAGACACCGCACGCAAACACCGCACACAGACACTGCACATTGAACAGACACCACACATAGACACCACACATCACACACACTTTGCACATACCCTGCACACAGACACTGCACATTGCACAGACACCACACAGACACCACACACACCTTGTACAACACACCACACAGACACCACACATCACACAGACATCAAACACAGACACCACGCATCACGCACTACCCTGCGCACAGACACAACACCACACACACACATATTGTGTGTGTACGTCACACCACGTTCCTTATACGTAATCGTCATGTGCATGTGTCGCGTATCTAATTATTCTCCCTGCGCAAACCATGCGGTGTGCGTGTGTTTCAATCGCCTGCGTATCGTGACGTTCCTCGTCATCGTGCTGCACGTCATGCGGACCAGGCGACGATGCTGCTGGTGGAGCTGCCGTACACACTCGCCACCGAGGAGGCCGAGAGGATCGGGGTCGACCACGTCGCGCGCATGAGCAGCACCGACTCGGGGGACGGCTCCACGGGTACCGCACGCTCCGCTCGCCCGCTTGCCAGCCTACTTGCTCGCCCCCGCCCCGCCCGCACGCACGCTCATCATCACTCACACTCGTTACTCTCTCTCGCACCATCACATTCTTCACTCGCTCATTCACCCGCACGCTCATCACTCACTCACGCTCGTTACTCTCTCACTCACCATCACATTCTTCACTCGCTCATTCACCCACACGCTCATCATCACTCACACTCGTTACTCTCTCACTCACCATCACATTCTTCACTCGCTCATTCACCCGCACGCTCATCACTCACTCACCCTCACACTCATCACTCACTCACCCGCACACTCATCACTCACTCACCCGCACACTCATCACTCACTCACTCACCCGCACACTCCTCACTCACTCACCCGCACGCTCATTCACTCACTCACACCCGTACACTCATCACTCACTCACCCGCACACTCATCACTCACTCACCCGCACGCTCATCACTCACTCACCCGCACACTCATCACTCACTCACCCGCACACTCATCACTCACTCACTCACCCTCACACTCATCACTCACTCACCCGCATGCTCATCACTCACTCACCCTCACGCTCATCACTCACTCACCCGCACACTCATCACTCACTCACTCGCACGCTCATCACTCACTCACCCGCACACTCATCACTCACTCACACTCATCACTCACTCACCCGCACGCTATCACTCACTCACCCGCACACTCATCACTCACTCACCCGCACACTCATCACTCACTCACCCGCACGCTCATCACTCACTCACTCACACTCATCACTCACTCACCCGCACGCTATCACTCACTCACCCGCACACTCATCACTCACTCACCCGCACACTCATCAGTCACTCACACCGCACACTCATCACTCACTCACCCGCACACTCATCAATCACTCACCCGCACACTCATCACTCACTCACCCGCACGCTCATCACTCACTCACCCGCACACTCATCAGTCACTCACCCGCACACTCATCACTCACTCACCCGCACACTCATCACTCACTCACTCACCCGCACACTCATCACTCACTCACCCCGCACACTCATCACTCACTCACCCGCACACTCATCACTCACTCACCCGCACACTCATCACTCACTCACTCACCCGCACACTCATCACTCACTCACCTGCACGCTCATCAGTCACTCACCCGCACACTCATCACTCACTCACCCGCACGCTCATCACTCACTCACCCGCACGCTCATCACTCACTCACCCGCACACTCATCACTCACTCACCCGCACACTCATCACTCACCAGCACGCTCATCACTCACTCACCCGCACACTCATCACTCACTCACCCGCACGCTCATCACTCACTCACCCGCACGCTATCACTCACTCACCCGCACACTCATCACTCACTCACCCGCACGCTCATCACTCACTCACCCGCACGCTCATCACTCACTCACCCGCACGCTATCACTCACTCACCCGCACACTCATCACTCACTCACCCGCACGCTATCACTCACTCACCCGCACACTCATCACTCACTCACCCGCACGCTCATCACTCACTTGCCCACTAGCCCACTAACCCACTCGCTCACCCGCACTCATCACTCACCCTCATACTCATCACTCACTCACCCACATGCTCATCAATCACTTGCCCACTAGCCCACCCGCTTACCCGCAAGCTAGCTCCTCACTCGCTCACTCACCACACACAAGTCAAAACCGCTCACGAGCTCAATCACCCGCTCATTCACTCATTCACACACTCACTCACCTACTTACCTCACTTACTCACTCACTCACATACTCACCTACACGCTAAACCCACACAGAGTCTATATAATTGCTGGTAGGGAGATTAATTTATTGTTGAATGTCTGTCAGCTTCTGCGGTGCACAGTGGTGGTGGTTGTAGTTGTCGTTGCTGTGGTTGTTGTGGTTTGCGCGGTAGTGGCTGAGCACCTGCTGGCACAGCACAGCGCCATCAAGATGCTGCACAACCGAGTCAGAGTCATCCTCCAGCACATGCGCGCCATTCAAGCCGTGTACTCGTTGCGTGCGCGCACACACAACAACAACAACATTCCCCACTAAGTGGTCGTGACGTCACCCGCGGCACTCGTGCCAGGCTAGATGCACGCTGATGCTGTCACGTGAAGTGAGAAAGGCTCAATGATCAGGTCACCAGACAGAGCAGCCAGGCGTTATGGGTTAATTAAGATGGCTGACGTAAAAATCACAACGACAAATATCCCCCCCCCCCCCAAATCGCCTTTAACAGACTGTTAGGGCAAGTTCTGCCCTGACACCTCCTCGTGTGTATAAATTCACACGAGGGGGTGAGTGGCCAGCACCACGCCCGACCGCCTTTGTCTCCCTGGTGGCATCGGTGGCCGTGAGCGGGAATCGAATTCGGCTCAACCGGGTTGGTAGCACAGGGCGCCAACTGCTACACTCGCCGCCCCCCCCCCATACGTAAATACACACACACGGACACATTGGCCGGTGTTTCGTAGCTGCTCGCTAGCAACGCCTGTCCCATACATCTGTTCACGGCCATACCGTGGAACCTTTGTGTTGTGTTGTTTGCGTGCACGTGTCCGTGTGTCCGTGTGTCTGCCCACGCAGGTGAGCTCCCAGTAGTACACGAGATTCTGCGCGATGCAGAAACAGCCTGTGCCACCGCCTGCCCCGTCATCAGCACCACCTCCTTCCAGGAGGACTTCTTCGACGTAAGTCGTCTTCCGCACAATTGCGTCTTCGTCGGCCGCGCCATCGCGAACGGGCAGAACCGTTCCTGTGTTGGAACCCCTCCAGCCACAACGCTGGTTTCGCCACGGCCGGCCCGCCGTCCGGGATTACGCCCCGGAAGACGACCTTGAGGAGTTGAATCCGCAGTCCCTGATACAAAAACTGTAGACTCAACTCGTTATTTTACCAGGTATGGCTCACCGCGTTATTTAGCTGTTTTTCAGAAGCGATCTGACTGTCGCAAATGACAGCCCAACGAAGTGGCTTATCGTCACACGCGAATTAATAGCAGCAGCGAAATACTCGGGAACGCACTGTGATTCAAAATGTGGAGGGGAAAACTGGAGGACCCGGAGAAAAATCCACTTCACCACGGGGAGAGGGAGAGAGACGTGAAAACTCCAAATATATAGGCGTCAGGGTCGGGATCAAATCCACGACCTCTTGTGTACCTGGCGAGGTAGTTAACACCATCACGACCATTGTACCACCACCAGATGTTGTTCATAGCGCGGCGCACCGGTCTTAATTAGTTTCTCGCTAACAGCACTTGCCCCGACGGTGTGTATAGGCTCCATGGGGTTTCTCTGTCTCTGCGTGAGCAGCAATGCAACGACGTGGCACTCATGGCGTACCTTGGAGCCGTGACCCGCAGCTGCAACACAGGAAACCTCTTCGTGAACAAGTTCAACACCCTGTACGACCGGCAGGGTGTGGGACGGCGCATGCGGGGGCTGTTCTTCTGAGAACGCGGGAGGCGCGCACACACCGCATAAACCACACACACCGCATACACACCGCACACACACACACACCGCATAAACCACACACACCGCATACACACCGCATACACACACACCGCATAAACCACACACACCGCATACACACCGCATACACACACACACACACACCGCACACACCGTACACACACCGCACACACCGTACACACACACACACCGTACACACACCACACACACCACACACACCGCACACACACCGCAAACACCGCACACACCACACACCGCACACACCCACACACACACCGCACACACACCACACACACCACACACACACCACACACATCACACCACACACCGCACACACCACACACACCGCACACCGCACACACCACACACCGCACACACACACCGCACACACACCACACACACCGCACACACCACACACACACACCGCACACACACCACACACACCACACACACACACACAACACACACCGCACACACCGCACACACCACACACCGCACACACACACACACACCACAACACCACACACACCACACACACCACACACGCACCGCATACACTGCACAGATACCACTTCGCGTAACACGTCCCACATGCCACACCGTGAGCACGCACCACACGAGCACTCTCCACACACGCTCGCCACACATGCACACACCGCAGACACACCACACACATGCGCGCACGCTCAACACGCGCACCACATGTGCGCACACAGCAGACACACGGGACGCAACGCTCCGCACACACGCACCTATACGTGTGCGCACACACCGCAGATACACCACACAGCAGACACGCCACACACGTACCGCACACGCGTGCACACTCCACACGCACACACACAAAACACGCACACTCGACAAAGCACACGCGCACCACGCACTTCGCAATGCCAACTGTGGCACGAACGCGTTCGCACACAGTCAGTCGCGCTAATGCAGTGCCGCAGTGCCGCTCGCACTCGGCGCACACAGGAAGCACGGAGGAGCTGCTCTGCAGCAAGGACACGGAGGCGTTTATTGGTGGGGGGGGGGGGGGGGGGGGGGGGGGCGGGGGGGGGGGACTGTGACCTCGTAATAAATTCTCACATTCGCACTCGAGAGGTCGTGTCGCGAGCTGTGGCGGATGCGTGCGTGTGGGCATACGAGAGAGAGAGAGCGAGCGAGCGCGTGCAGCATTATACTCTACCCACCTGCGTGGTTACCCCTCTGGCCAATAATGGTCGTAGCGATCCGTCGACCGACACCGATTCTCACGCTGGCGACCCGAGTGGCAGCCAAGGGTAGGGAAACGTGCCCGGAAGAGGGGGCCCGTCTGCCGCAGGAGACGGAGCGACGGAATGGGATCGCGTGCAGGCGCGCTCGGTGGGTGGATCGCTGCGTCGTCGCAGCGCACAGGATCGCGGACAGAACTCGGTAGTCGGTCCTGGGCCTCGATTGGCAGTCGTGGTGCGGGTGGGGTCGCGTGCCCGGTGCCTCGTGGTGGGTAGGTAGTTTCCGCCGCCTCACTGCGCTTTACCCCGCTTGCCCGCGTTGAGCGACGCGGCTTTGCCCGTCGGCGTCGCCGCCGGTGCCGCCGCCGCTGTCACCGCCTTCTTGCCTGCTCCCTGTGTCCTGGCCCGGAGCTGCGGTGCAGCCGTCGCCGCGGGCTGTGCTGGCCGGGGCGGAGGGCCGGGACGCGGCTTGGTGCGGTAGAGCAGCTGGCGCGAGAAGAGCAGAGGGACACGGCCCCGGTAGAGGAACACTGCGAGGAGCGCGCCTGCGTGGGGGGTGGGGGACACGGGTGGGGGGGGGGGGGGAAGACGCCGTTAATTTTTATGCTAATTCCTTTGTCAAGGCACCTTGTTTCCTCGCACACAGCTTAAAGGTCCGCGGTCTGAGCGTGGCTGTGTTTCACTCCAGCGCTGTCCTCGAGACAGCCTGGTCCCTTCACCTGATGAAGGCCGCTTGTGTTGTGGCCGAAACGTCGTGATTTTTGTTTTATTTTTTACCTACGTGACTTTACCGAATAGAACCAAAGAGTATGGATCCTTGCAGTCACGAAAGCTTCAAATCTAGAATTAAAACCAAAAGACTTTATTTTACCAGTGAAGGCCCACTGAGCGATGTAGCTCTTTTTTTTCTTTCCCCGAAGCGACCTGGTCGCAAATGACAGCTCAACAAAGCGGCTTGTGTGGAAAGGGGCCGTCCATAAATGACGCCACGCGATTTTGGACGATTTTTGACCCCCCCCCCCTCGTCACACGGCGTCACAAAAAGTCAGACCCCCCCCTTAAATATGACGTCACAAAGCTCTGCCCCCCCCCCCCCCAAAAGAACATATTTCCATTTTGAAAATAAAACATGCTTCAAATCGATTTAAACTATTGTCATTGTAGTGCGTATTTAATGTGGGGCTGCATTCTGATGTTGTAGGAGTATTGATGTGACGTCACATTTCTCAAACCCCCTCGTCACACATCGTCACAAATGTCTGACCCCCCCAGGTGCGTGACGTCATTTATGGACTGCCCCAAATGTAGAGCAGCCAAATACTCGAAACGCGTGATGTTGATTCTTAATGTGGAGGGGGAAAAACCGGAGGACCCGGAGAAAATCCCACAACCTCCTGCACACCTGGCGAGAGAGTTAATATCTCACCACCGTAGCGTCCCATGTCAGCAAAACCCTCTTCCAGCCACGCAATTCAATACCCCCGCCATTTGGCACGAAATAACGGTGACATCACCACGGCGCCTGTGCCAGGCGAGGTGCACTTTGAGGCCACGTGAAGTGTCGAAGCCTCGCGAACGGGAGGTCACGGAACAGACCGAGGTGCCGTGGATTGACTGAGATGACTGGCAGATGCCCCAGGCGTGCGCCCCTACCGTGCCGTCATCGACATAATTAACGGCGCTTGCCCCAAAAATCCATGTAAGGCTTATTGCAGAGGGATATTTGTGTGCCTGGTGTCGTGCGAGTGGCGTGGGTTGGCGATCGCTGTCTCTCTCTCTCACGGGTTGAGTATACCTAGCACAGGTGCGAGTAGGTAGACGAGTCCCAGCCTGGACGGGGACGGAGTGGAGCAGCCCCACATCAGGGCCAGCGCCACCGCGGGGTTGAAGACGCCCAGAGATGTCGACTCCACTGCGTAGCGCACAGCAAGACCACAACATCGCACCACCACGACACCACAACACCACCACACCACCACATTGATCAGTCAGTCTTTATGTTACCACACCTGTCAACCCCTTATCAGTGCCCTACCTTATTACAGACCAACTCAAACCTTATTGATCACCCCGTGCCCCTTATAAATCTCAACGTTCATCCTACAAAGTCCCATCACAAGGGAGAAACACAAACAAATAAGACAAAAAACATTTTTTTGCCCGTATTCAAACGGCTGTACCCCGTATGGACTGCACAGAGCACACCCAGAGCCGCAGCTGTATATGTTGAACACGGTTCCTTCCTGCTTTGCAGATAGACCCGAGTTTGAATATACGGTAAATCAATTTGCGGATGAACAGATTTGTGAAATGGCAGATTCTCAGAGGTTAAAAAAGATATATATATGATAACATAGCTGGCAATCCAAATCGCAGCCACGCGAACCGTGTCCTTCCCCCGCACCTCCAATTAGCACGGTCGGCTACGTACGGTGCCAAAGAAGTTCAACACAAAGACATACACGAGTCGATTTGGCGGATGAACGGGGAGTTTGGCGGCCGAACGGGTGACGCTGCCCAGACTCACCGATGCAGCTGAGCGTGGCCACGCAGGCCGCGATGAACAGGGCGCGCGTGCGGGACACGGGGCCCACGTCGACCCTACCGCTGCCGCCGCTTCTCCTGCTGCTGCTGCTGCTGGTGGTGCTTGTGGTTGTGCCGACGTCGCCGCCGCTGCTGGTGGTGGTGGTGGTAGTGGTGGTGGATGCTCCACCAGCCTTGGCCGAGGAGGTGGAGGAGGGCACCCCGAGCCTCAACACCACCAGCGCTAGCACCACGGACAGCGCCGCCTCTGTGAGCATGGCTTCAATCAGCGCCTGGTGGCCACCGTCGGCTGCGGTTGCGGTGGTTGTGGCGGTTGGCACCACCACCACAGCCGGCGGCGGCGACACCACGCACTCGCCGGCGCGCGCCAACATGTGCCGGATGACGTGGTGGAAGGAAAACTGCGTCGCCCAGAGGCGCTCCACGCAGAGTCGCCCAGCCAGGGCGCCCACTGCCTGGGCCACGAGCAGCACCGCGAGGTGGAGACACGGGAGGGATGCGTCCAGGGTGGACACCAGGGCCACCACTGGATGACCCTGGTGGGGGGAAGGGGGGGGGGGGGTGAGGGGAGCGGTGGCGCAGTGATGTTTACTCAAGTTGCCCGGTATGCAGGAGGCCGTGGGTTCGATCCCGACCATGACGCCTGCTGCTGTATATTTGTAGTTCGCGTGTCTCTCATCATCACGGTGGCTATGAGATGTTAACTACCTCGTCTGGTATACAGGAGGTCTTGGATTCGATCCCGACCCTGACGCCTGCTGCTGTATATTTGTAGTTCGCGTGTCTCTCATCATCACGGTGGCAATGAGATGTTAACTACCTCGCCTGGTTTACAGGGGTCGTGGGTTCGATCCCGACCCTGACGCCTGCTGCTGCTGTATATTTGTGGTTCGCGTGTCTCTCACTCTCCCCGTGGTCGCGTGGACTTTTATCCGGGTCCTCCGGTTTTTCCCTCCACATTGAGAAACATTCTGCTTAGAGTGTTTGGCTGCTCTAAATTCCCGCATTATAAACCACTTCACTGAGCTATAATTTGTGGCCTAGTCGCTTCTGAAAAGGAGCTATATAGCTCAGTGGGCATTATCTGGTAAAATACAAATACAGTAAAACCTTGGATTGCGAGTAAGTTGGTCTGCGAGTGTTTTGCAAGACGAGCAAAGATTTTAAATAAATATTAATTTGATACACGAGCGAGGGTCTTGCAATACGAGCGGTAACGTATACGCTTTGTACTGCCGAGCGTCACGTGATCACAGCTGATATACCAGTGCTTTGATATACGAGTGCTTTGGATTACAAACACGTTTCCGGAACGAATTATGGTCGCAATCCAAGGTTTTTACTGTTGTTTAGTTTAGTTCAACCTCCTCTTTCACGAGCACATCATCCGACACTGATCTGGCCCGATGCGCGGTCGTCTTGGTGATGGGAAAATAGTCTAAGTCCATTATTGGCAATAAGTACAGGTAGTCCCCGACTTACGATGGTCCGACTTACGATATTTCGATCTTACGATGGCGGTAGCGATATGACAAAATTGTTAAATATTTTTAATTTCGCGCGGCAGGCAAACGCAGCAGCGTACGAGGTACGATACTGTAACTTGATCATCGCCATCCTCCTCTTCCGACAACTAAGTTAATGTAGCCATCAACAACCTAACATCGTTCAAGTATGCAGACGACGGACAGAATCTTGGTGAGTACAGTAGAAAATATGATACGTTACGATACGTTCAATGCATGTATGATATATGTAGCTTTAGCGATTTCATTTTAGGGTTACCACGATACGATACGTACGTTCAATGCATGTTAAAAGTTTATATATAGCAGATAGGATTGTTTCCTGAAAAAAACTTTCTATGAAATTGCAGTTCATATACGTAGGCTAAGAATTTACCTTGTTTTTTTACTTTAAATTTTACCGTGCAATACAGTATTGTAATTAATAAATACATACGGTATATAGTTTATACAGTACGGTACTGTAAATTGCTCTGTTTTGCTAAATTATCACCATGCTTTAAGACTCCTGGGGTAGGGCTAAGGCATTTTCGACTTACGATATTTTCGACTTACGATGGGGTCGTCGTAACGCATCTCCGTCGTAAGTCGGGGACTACCCTGTATATGCTGTGCTATTGCATCTCGCGGTCCAAGGCCAAAAGCAGAACACCCACGAGCGGAGAGGGTCTTCGTTACAACTCATACAACTACCACGGTGAACAGAATGGCCGGGTGTTGCGAGTTGAGGTTATTCTAAGATGTGTTGTGTTTGAAAACCGGTGTATCATCTTCCTTCGGATGTTTGGACGCCACTGGGAGATGTGCACTTTCAAATCATCATCATCATCATCATCATCGAAAACGAATTTCTTTAGAACAGTTTTTGTTTTTATAGTTTGTGGTCCTTCCAAAACACCTCCGAGTAGCGCGGTTAGGCAACGTACGGTACGAAAGAAGTTCAACATGCACACAGTACAGATGAGACATCGTTGGCTGGCCTCACCGCAGGGGACGCACACGACATCATGTTGCAGTAATCGGAGCAAATTCCAACCCACGTTAAATGTCTATCCTCGGCTACAGCTCCTCCACGCGTGACATTCCTCAACTCCTCTCCCACCTCTCCCGTCACCTCCTTCCCCTCAACTTCCACCCTTCCTTTCATTCCCCCCCACCAATTTTCCTTCACCTCCCCTCCCCCTCCCCTCAACTCTCTTTCCCCTCGCCTCCCCTCCCCACCCCACCTCTCCCCTCCCCTCCCCACCTCTCCCCTCCCCTCCCCACCTCTTCCCCTCACCTCCCCACCGCTCCCTCCCCTCACTTCCCTCCCCTCCCCACCCTCCCCTCCCTCCCCACCTTTCCCCTCCCACCGCTCCTCCCTCCCTCACCTCCCCTCCCCTCCCCACCTCTCCCCTCCCCTCCCCACCTCTCCCCTCCCCTCCCCACCTCTCCCCTCACCCTCCCCACGCGCTTCCCTCACCTTCCCTCCCCTCCCCACCCCTCCCCTCCCCTCCCCACCTCTCCCTCCCCTCCCCTCACCTCCCCTCCCCTCCCCACCTCTCCCCTCCCCACCTCTCCCCTCCCCTCCGCTCACCTCACCTCCTCTCCCCACCTCTCCCCTCCCCACCTCTCCCCTCCCCACCTCTCCCCTCCCCTCCCCACCTCTCCCCTCCCCACCTCTCCCCTCCCCACCTCTCCCCTCCCTCCTCACCTCTCCCCTCCCCACCGCTCCCCTCACCTCCCCTCCCCACCTCTCCCCTCCCCTCCACCATCTCTCCCCTCCCCTCCGCTCACCTGGGTGAGGGGGTGCGAGCCCCCGTGCGCCACTGCCAGGGCCCCCGCGGCCCCCGCGGCGATCTCGAGAGCGGCCCGCACCCCGCGGGCCCCGCTGCCCTCCGCGGGGCCCGCCAGGGCGCGCACCTCCAGGGCGCACGCGGCCCACTGGGCGGCCACCAGCGACTCGCGCGTCGCCAGCAGTGCCCAGCGGGGCAACGACGACGACGAGGAGGATGAGGATGAGGAGGAGGGAGATGAGGAGGGTGATGACGGGGAGCAGAGGCGGCACAGGAGCGACAGTGCGCGCAGCAGCAGCGCGCAGGACGCCACGACCACGAGCAGGGAGCCCAAGCACACGTTCAGAGACATGGTGGTGAGGAGGTGGTGAAGAGGTGGGGGTGGGGGGGGAGGGAGTGAGGAGATGAGGTGGTGAGGAGAGGCGACGAGAGGGTGACTCGGACTGACGAGGGCGACGAGAGGATGGACGCGCAATGGGGGGGGGGGGGGGGACTGGAAAAGCCCGGAGCGGAGACGCGCGGAGAGACACCAAGAGGCGGAGGAGACACGTGGTGACAGAGAAGACACACGGGGAGTGGTGGGGGGGTACTAGGGGACACGTGGAGATACGAGGGAGACAGGAGACACGTGGAGAGACAAGGGGGGAGACACGTGGAGAGACAAGGGAGGAGACACGTGGAGATACGAGGGGGGAGACACGTGGAGAGACAAGGGGGGAGACAGGAGACACGTGGAGAGACAAGGGGGGGAGACACGTGGAGAGACAAGGGGGGAGACACGTGGAGAGACAAGGGGGGAGACACGTGGAGAGACAAGGGGAGAGACACGTGAGTTGGCGAGAGAAGAGAATGGTAGAGACACGGAGAGACAGAAGGAGAGAGAGAGGAGCGTGAGATGGAGACGAGAGTCTAAAAGAGAGAGGGGGGCAGCGGTGAGGGGAGGTGGAGGGAGAGGAGAGGTGGAGACATGAGGTGAGGGAGGGGGGCCGAGAGAGAAGGTGGGGACGTAGTTATTGTGCTTATAAGTGAGTAGAGGGGGAGGAGAAATGTGATTAGGGAGGTGGGGGGAGTAGCAGAGTGGATAGAGTTCCTGGGTGGAGGAGAGGTTGGGAGAGCGAGGGGGAAGAGAGGGGGGGGGAGACAGGGGCGGGGGGGGCGTGGGAATGAGGGCAGGTGCATTGAAGGGTCACCTGTGCCACGTAGTGTTAGGGGTTAGTGTTAGAGGTATGGGTCGTGTTAGAGGTATGGGTAGTGTTAGAGGTATGGGTAGTGTTAGGGGTATGGGTAGTGTTAGGGGTATGGGTAGTGTTAGGGGTATGGGTAGTGTTAGGGTATGGGTAGTGTTAGGGGTATGGGTAGTGTTAGGGGGTATGGGTAGTGGTTAGAGGTATGGGTAGTGGTAGGGTATGTGTAGTGTTAGGGTATGGGTAGTGTTAGGGGTATGGGTAGTGTTAGAGGTATGGGTAGTGTTAGAGGTATGGGTAGTGGTAGGGGTATGGGTAGTGTTAGGGGTATGGGTAGTGTTAGGGGTATTGGTAGTGTTAGAGGTATGGGTAGTGTTAGAGGTATGGGTAGTGGTAGGGGTATGGGTAGTGTTAGGGGTATGGGTAGTGTTAGGGGTATGGGTAGTGTTAGGGGTATGGGTAGTGTTAGGGGTATGGGTAGTGTTAGGGGTATGGGTAGTGTTAGAGGTATGGGTAGTGGTAGGGGTATGTGTAGTGTTAGGGGTATGGGTAGTGTTAGGGGTATGGGTAGTGTTAGAGGTATGGGTAGTGTTAGAGGTATGGGTAGTGGTAGGGGTATGGGTAGTGTTAGGGGTATGGGTAGTGTTAGGGGTATTGGTAGTGTTAGAGGTATGGGTAGTGTTAGAGGTATGGGTAGTGGTAGGGGTATGGGTAGTGTTAGGGGTATGGGTAGTGTTAGAGGTATGGGTAGTGTTAGAGGTATGGGTAGCAGTAGGGGTATATGTAGTGTTAGGGGTATGGGTAGTGTTAGGAGTATGGGTAGTGTTAGAGGTATGGGTAGTGTTAGAGGTATGGGTAGTAGTAGGGGTATAGGTAGTGTTAGAGGTATGGGTAGTGTTAGAGGTATGGGTAGTGTTAGAGGTATGGGTAGTAGTAGGGGTATAGGTAGTGTTAGGGGTATGGGTAGTGTTAGAGGTATGGGTAGTGTATGGGTAGTGTTAGAGGTATGGGTAGTGTAAGGGGTAGTTAGTGATGTTAGTGGTAGGGTTAGTGTTCGGGGAAGTGTTGTGGTTAGAGGTAGTTATAGTGTAGTGTTGTGGTAGGGTTATGGGTATGGGTAGCGGTAGTGTAATGGGTATCGGTAGGGCTCTAGGCAAGGTGAGTGGCGGGGTTAGGGCTGAGTGTACGAGTGGAGTCTTCCTATTTTCTAGTAAAACGGCAACAATCTCCGGTCAACATCATGATCATCAACATCATCATCATCATCGGATGTGGAATGAACTTTCGTTGTCCCGCCGCCGGGAAGTGAACACCATGGGGGGGGCGGGGGAGGGGGTGCGACTTGTCACGACGCTCTCCGTTGTGTGAAGTTCCTGGTGGCCTGTAGTGCGGACCCCTGACGCACCCCACCATCACCATCGTGCTGCTGTCACAAACCCAACAATGGTTTCAAATGGTGTGGCGGGCCCTCACGCAACTGATGATACCAATAGTGGGGGCTTTCCCATTTTTTCTGGCAACAAAACTGACACCTTTTGCCAGGATTCATGTTAACATTAACCACAATGCTTGCAGTCAAATGCAAACAAAATTCAATATGCTGATATTCTTGGTTCTTTCGGTTAAGTCACGTTGAAGGGAAAACAATGACTTTACCGAAAGAACCAAGAATATGAATCACTGCAGTCACGAAAGCTTTAAATAAAAATTTTTATATTCTGATAATTTATGCATTGTTCTTGAAACTGATTGGTCCACACCAGAGACAGCTTTTCGTAGAGCCTAGTCTCAATTGGTGCTAGACCAGATGACGCCAAAAGGCGTACACAGTTCAATGACAACGCCACTATCAGAGCAATGAGAGCTCGGGGTAAGCGTCTACATCACGAGGCCTCCTTTGCCAGTACCAAAATATACTAATATTGTCTCTGGTGTGGACCAGTCAGTTTCAAGGACAATGCATAAATTATCAGAATATTGTTTTTTTGTTTGCATTTGACTGCAAGTATTGTGGTTAATGTGAACATGAATCGTTGCAAAAGGTGTCAGTTTTGTTGCCGGAAAAAAAGGGGTAAACACCCCTATTAGTATATTTTTGCACTGGCCAAAGGAGGCCTCATGATGCAACTGATGATGTCTTAGCGAAAAGTGGACCCCTTTGGCCCTCCTCCCCCCCCCCTCTGAAAATGAGTGAGGGACACTGCTGTGCCACACGAAAGTACAATCTCAATGTTGCTGCTCCCACGTGGTTAAATAAAGGGCATCCACCTGAACGTGCTCACGCGTAGGTAAAACAAAGGGTCTCTGGATGGGATCCTGCCTGGTTAAACATTAATCTCAAGGGGCCGTCCATAAATGACGTCACGCACCAAGGGGGGGGAGGGTGGTCAGATATTTGTGACGATGTGTGACGAGGGGGGGGGGGAGGTTTAGAAATGTGACGTCACGTAAAAATACGCAACTTTAAATAAATACAGGCAACACGTTCTACTTAATAAAATAGACTTTTTAATAAATGGTTTCTCCTACAACATCAGAGTGCAGCGCCACATTAAATACGCACTACAATGACAATAGTTTAAAGCGATTTGAAGCATGTGTTTTTTTTTGGGGGGGGGGGGGTTGGAGGGGGCAGAGCTTTGTGACGTCATATTTGAAGGGGGTCTGATTTTTTGTGACGCCGTGTGACGAGGAGGAGGGGGGTGGGGTTAAAAAATCGTGCAAAATCGCGCGAAGTCATTTATGGACGGCCCAAAAGGCATTGCGCGTGGTTAAACAAAGCACGTTGTTACCTCTACGGGGCGGTGAAATGAGCGAGGGGACACTCTTTGTGAGTCCACCGACGTTGATCCTCATCGCCCGCGAGGGGGAGTCCTCCGTGCGGTTTTCCAGTCGTCCACCTTCCCGCTGGGATGGCGATTCCCTGGTGTTGACCCCCGTGTCTCACCCCACACGCCACCCCCCCTCGCCCTTGACCACATCAAATGGTGTCGCCAACTTTCTTCCCGGAGTGATGTCCGATTCCAGGAAGGGGCACGCGAAGCGCTTTTAAATCATAGTCTTTGGTTCTTTCGGTAAAAGTCACGTGGGTATAAAATAAAATAAATCACGACGTTTCGGGCGCAACACAAGCGTCCATCATCAGGTGGGAAAGCCAGCAAAACTTTAAAAAAATGTAATACGGTAATTATGGTAAGTTTGTGCACTGTGGTCCGATGTCCTCTACTTTGATTTAAATTTGCTTCATTGCTCTGCTTTGTTTTTCACTTCATTTGTCATTGTGGTGATCTCAGATTATTCTTGCAAAATGGGACTCCTCTGGAGTTTTAGGCTGGTCAGAGAGGCACCACACTCGAGACTTCAACACCCCCCGCCCCCCCCCCGGGCGTCTCCTCCCCCTGCCCCCCCCCCCCGGCGTCTCCTCCCCCCGGCGTCTCCTCCCCCCGCCCTCCCCCCCCGGCGTCTCCTCCCCCCGCCCCCCCCGCGTCTCCTCCCCCCGCCCCCCCGGCGTCTCCTCCCCCCGCCCTCCCCCCCCGGCGTCTCCTCCCCCCCCCCCCTCCGGCGTCTCCTCCCCCCGCCCCCCCCCCGGCGTCTCCTCCCCCCCGCCCCCCCCCGGCGTCTCCTCCCCCCGCCCCCCCCGGCGTCCTCCTACCCCCCGCCCCCCCCCCCCCCCACCCCCCCGCCGGCGTCTCCTCCCCCCGCCCCCCCCCCGGCGTCTCCTCCCCCCGCCCCCCACCGGCGTCTCCTCCCCCCCCCGGCGTCTCCTCCCCCCGCCCCCCCCGGCGTCTCCTCCCCCGCCCCCCCGGCGTCTCCTCCTCCCCCCCGCCCCCCGGCGTCTTCTCCCCCCCCCGCCCCGCCCCCCGGTGTCTCCACGGTTGCCCCGGGAGACGCGGGCGACTCCGCGTCTGGCTCATGCGGCGCTGCTGCCCGACCCGCTGTTGGAGGCGCGGGACCAGGCGAAGGCTCCGCTCAAAGACTTCTACCAGATCGTGGTGACGAGGAGCGAGGTGAACGATGGGTGGGGGTGACGAGGTGGTGGAGGGAGACCGCCTTGGGGGGTGGGGGTGACGAGGTTGTGGACGATTTGTTGAACCTCAGCGGTACGGAGCCAACCGATGTTGTGAAGAGGCGGTTTGAAGTTTGCGGAGGTGGTGGGGTGCACTGCACGGATTGTGATGGTGAGGGGTGACGAGGTGAGGATACAGGGTAGAGGAGGGGGACGACGACGAGGTGGGATGGAGAGAGGAGACAGGGGAGTGGTTTGTGATGATTTTGTCATGATCTTTACCGTGTTGTTGTTGTTGTTGGTGGTGATGAGAAGTTTCTGTCAGATCGTGGTGAAGAGAGGAGGAGTTGACGAGGTGGTTGTTATAATTGTGGTGACCGTGATGGTTGTGGTGAAGAGGAGACGGCGCGCAGGAGGTGGGGGGTGGTGACGAGGTTAAGAAGACGGGGCGTAGGCTGACGAGGTGCCTTGTGATGATTGTTCTAACAACTGTATTGCAATTGTGTTGAAATGATGACAGTGATGTTATGTCGTGATGTTTATATTATTCTGACGATCCGTGTGTGATTGAGGGGATTATGTTAATAGCGGTGATTTTGATCTTAATGTTGATTGCGCAGGCGATGGGGAGCGGTGGTGCAGCGGTTAGCGCGCTGCGCTCCGAACTTGGCCATCCGAGTTCGATTCCCTCTCACGGCCAACACCAGCGACGATATATTTCAACCGGTCCTGGGCCTCCACTAGGTCGACTCAGCCTCAAATGAGTACCTGGTGCGATATATAAACATCGCCACTAGGGAGACGAAGGCGGCCGGGCGTCGTGCCGGCCTTCATAAGTGCTACTCGCTAGCAGCACTTGCCCCAACAGTGTATTAAGTCTGTACGGGGGATATTTGTCTGATGGTGCAGGTGATGTTATTATATCTTTTGTTTTTTTCCTGATATAATTGAGCACCATGAGGGTAACAGTTGATAGACATCAATCAGCCTACCTCCCCCCCCACCACCACCGCCCAATGTCATCGTTCTTAACACACCACATGATTAATGATTACCGTCTGGCAACCTCGCTAAACCCATAACGCCCGTGTGGTTCTGACGTGTTGCAGGTGATATGAATATTAGATGGTGTTGATGGTGGTTGACGTTGGTGATATGAATATTCGATGGTGGTGCAGGTGATATGAATATCAGATGGTGCACGTATCTATGCTTAACTTATTTTCCACCGTACGTAGCCAACCGTGCTCATCGGAGGTGCGGACCATGCTCGATAGCCAGTGGCATGAGCGCTAAGTGACGCTGTCAGTCCAGCAATGAGTCAAACTTCAAGTCCAAGTCCTTTCCCCAGCGTCTGATGAAACCAGCCCCTGTGATGGTAAAAGCGACTGTGGCGATAGTCGTACTGATGGTGGTGCAGGTGATATGAATATAAGATGGTGGTGGTGATGGTGGTGCAGATTATATGAATATAAGATGGTGGTGCTGATGGTGCTGCAGGTGATATGAATATTAATTGGCGGTGGTGATGGTGCTGCAGGTGATATGAATATTAGATGGTGGTGATGATGGTGATGGTAGTGCAGGTGACATTAATATCAGATGGTGGGTGCAGATGATACGCATATTAGATGGTGGTGGTGATGGTGGTTGGTGATGGTGGTGCAGGTAATATGGAGGTGGTGGCAGGTCTCTTTGCGTCATGTGGGTCGGAGCGCAAGACCCGGGGAGACGAAAGAGACTCACGCGGAGTTTCTGGAGGACAGAGTCCTGCAGGGTGAGGACACACGGGGAGACATGGGGGGAGGTGAAACGCCGGGGGAGACACGGCGCGAGACGGGTAGACACATGTCGTGAGACGCGGTGGGACACGAGGAGACGCGGGGCTACTCGAGGAGATACAGAGATACGTAATCAGGTGACAAACGAGGGAACACGGAGGGAGACACGAGGCATCAGCATAGGGGAGACAAAGGCGGCCGGTCGTGGTAGCTGCTGACCAAACCACCTCCCTCACAGGTGAACCGTATCGTAGGCTATACGGGCGGAGTATCTTTGTGTGTGCGAGTAGCGGTTCGCGCCGGATCCGTCGATTCCCGCTCACGGCCAACACCAGTTGCAAATATTATTTTTTTTAACCGGTCCTGGACCTCCCTTAGTATGTACCGTACGTTGAACTTCTTTCGCATCGTACGTAGCCAACCGTGCTAATTGGAGGTGCGGCAAAGAAAAAAACAACAAATTAAACGCAGAGAGCAGTTCGAAATAAGTGAGTCTTCAATGTAGATTTCACAGTGCACAGCTCCAGTGGCTTCCTAACATCGGAAGGAAGAGCGTTCCAGACGGCCGCAGAAGTGCATCTGAAAGCGGCCTCAAACGAGTACTTGGCGGGACGCGTACACATCGCCGATCGGGAGACAAAGGCGGCCGCGCGTGGTTGCTGGCAACACCAGCCCCCTGGTGCGCCGCGCCGGCTGACGGCAACTTTCCCCAACAGTTCATCAACGGCGACGGGCGGTCTTTGTCTTCTCCTTCTTCTTGTCCCTTGTGCGTCCCGCAGGCCGCGTGCTCGCCGTGTTCGGGCCCGAGCTGCTGTCGAGAGCCCAGGCCGCGTGCTCGGGCCGCCACGACTTCCTGTCGCGCCTCCCCGCGCCGCTCGGCGTGCGCGTGCTCGCGCTGCTGCGCCTCGAGGACCTGCAGAGCGTGGCGCGCACGTGCACGCGCCTGCACGCGGTGCGAGGGTGGTGTGGGGGGCACGGGGAGAGGGGCGGTTGCACGGGGGGGGGGGGGGAGGGGACACGGTGGAGACAAGCAGACAAGGGAAGACATGGGCACCGCGGTCGGCCAGATGTTAACCACCTCGCTTGCGATACAGGTCGTGGGTTCGATGCCGACTTATGACGGTGCCCACTGTATAATTGGAATTTGCGTGCATCTCGATCATCACGGTGGTTAGGAGATAGGAGATGTTAACTACCTCGCCTGGTATACAGGCGGTCGTGGGTTCCATCCCGACCCTGACGCCTGCTGCTGTATATTTGGAGTTTGCGCGTCACTCTCCGCCGTGGTCGCGTGGATTTTTCTCCAGGTCATCCGGTTTTTTCCCATTCACATTCAGACTTAACATGCGTTTGCAGTATTTGGCTGCTATACATTTCCACCAGATAAATTAAATCACGACGTTTCGATTGCAACACAAGCAATCATCACAAGCAATCATGATGATGATTGCTTGTGTTGCAATCGTGATTTTATTTATTTTATTTTATACCTCCGTGACTTTACTGAAGGAACCAAAGAGTATGGCTCCCTGCAGTCACGAAAACTTCAAATATAGATTTCCACAAGAGCCAATTCGTTGAACTATCATTTGTGGCCAGGTCGCCTCTGAAAAAGAGCTGCACGGCTCAGTTGGGCCTTATCTGGTAAACTAAAAAGTTAACATTTTAGGGGGCAAACCGATACACAAGCTCGGGACTCGCAGAGGAGATGCGGGAAGGCACAATGGGACACAAAAATATAATGGGGCACGCGTGTCCCGTGCGTGTGTGTGTGCGTCCCCAGCTGTGCGAGAGTGACGCGCTGTGGGAGGCGGTGTGCTGCGGCTGCGATGGCTCCTCCACCTCGTCGTCCTCCTCCTCGCAGCGCGAGTCTCTGCGCGCCTTGGCTGCAGACATCGGCTGGAAGAGAGTCTTCTTCTCCAGCAAGCTGCACCTGCAGCTGCAGCTGCGGCGACGGCGCCAGCGCAACGACAACAGCGACAGACACGAAGCGCAGCAGCAGCAGCAGCTTGCGCTCCCGGCACCGGAGGTCGTCCCAGCAAATTGACCTGCGCGCTGGCGTCCCGGCAGAAAATCTCAGTTCCTTTTTCTGCTCGCTACTTGGTGGAACGGCGGTTGAAATGTGTTTTTTTTGGTGGAGAGTGGCTGGTTTCTTTTTTCATGTTTTTGGTGGAGGAAGAGTTGGGGATTTTTTTTTTTTCCCGTGGTTGTTTTTGATGCAAATGCGGATTCTGACGATTTTCGTGAGGTTTTATTTCTGGAGTGGAAGGGGTGGGGGCGGGGTGTCCGTGAGTTGAGGAAGGACATTTTTTTGTTAGCCACCGTTTTTTTAGCCATGGTTTCCGTTTACATTGGTCAATAAGGTTAAAGGAGTCTTGGCGGAAATGACTGTTTGCCGTGGGTTTTAGGTTTTAGTTTTATTTTATATTTTAAAAAGGGGGGTGGCAGTTTCACCCGCATTTGAGGAAAGGTGGTCGATGCCAGATTTAGGTTCTGAAGTTTCCATGGAATTGTATGAAATGATTTTGAACAAGTGCACTTCTTCAGGAGCTTCTGACAGTAATGCACATAAGGTTGAGTGGTTTTCAAAACGTATGGCTTTCTGGCCCTCTACTGTTACTCTGTTAGGATGGGGCTTTCTCTCTCGTCAGTTACAGGTGTTATTGTTTGTGTTGGCATTAGTCCCGCTAATGGGCCCCAGGGTGTAGTCTCCATACACATGGCTCCCAGAGGCAGACTTTGCAGCGGTGAGCATCGGTGACTTTACTGTGCTGGCGATCCACAGTTGTCTCTCTCCGTCTCGTTGCCGTCTGTCCGGCGGTCACATTTGCTCGAATATATTTTGATGGTGACCTAAGACAAGAGGACCACAATGCAGTTCTTCAGGAACTCTTGATGGTTTTTGCATAATGCACAAAGGCAAAGTGTTTTGTACGCGTTGCTGTCTGTTTTTGGTGAGGGGGGGGCCGAAACACATTTAACATTGCCATCCTTTTCGAATTGTGCAATTCATTAATTAAAATCGCTTCTAAGAGATGCGTTGAATTGTATTAGAATCGATGGAAATGCGTTTGCACGTACAGCGCACTTACACGACTCTACAGATTTAAACGGCTGTAGATTCAGCGAGCCGTGGTCTCTCTACTGCCGGATGCAGTCATCCCCAACACAGTCACCATCCCTCAGTCCAGATATGCCACAATGCATCACACTCTCCTTCCTGCAGACAAACCGATTTCATTGCTCCATCTCTGCAGCGGACGCCCTTATTGGCCACCATTCCCGGTAGCCATGACCGGCTCAAGCCCCCGTACTTTTCTCAGCAACATTTACAGTTAGGATTTACACGGTGGCGTCGACTGTATATCTGTGAAAAAGGAGCTTTGTAGCTCATCGGATTCCTCGTATAAATAGTCCGATTCTGGTGTCTAAAATACAATGGAATCTAAGTCCACTGCAGTGGGATTATTTATCCCAGAGAGAGGTAGTCATATGTCTATGTGTCTGAGGTTCTCGCTGTGTCTCTCTGTGGGTCTGTGTGTATAAGGGACGGGTCTCCATGGCGAGTCTATGGAACTACGATTCTTTGGGTCTCTCCGAGTCGATAACAACACGGACGTATAGAGCGGTGTCTAAATGCGACCGCATCTGGACATCTGTGAAAAAGATCTTCATAGCTCATCAGATTCCACCAAGATAAATATTCTGATTCTGATCTGAAGATGCCGTACACAGACAGTGGCCATCAATCGTAGGCAAAGTAGAAGTGGAAAATCTCGAGCAGGAAGTCGTCAGCACGGGTGGCTGGTGGGGGCAATTCCAGACTGTGAGGGCAGCAGAAGAGCAGGAGCAACCTCCCACGGAGCGAGGGCGTTCTCATTCTGTCTCTCGTTGCAGGCCTCTAGTATGAAGGCAGAGGAAATCATAGATGCATGACTACAACCACGGACTAAATACAACGAAATGAACATTCAAGGTTTGAGCAAAAACATTTATTTTTTACTTTTTTTGGTTTATAAAGTGAAATCATTCCTTGTCGCGACACCAGTGGTTAAATTAAAGAACCGGGGATGGTGGGGGGGCTAATCAGGAATGAGGAGGGGGGGGGCAATTTTCAGAAGCTACCCACTCCCCCCCACCAATTGAACCCCCCCTCCATGACCCACACGCCAGTACAATCACAAGTATATAACGCCCGTCTTCAAAATGATCAAGTGAGAAAATACGATCGCTAAGCGAGCGGTTTACAACACAAAAGATACAGAAGCAAAAAAACAAATCTGCCGCTCTTAAAATTACACAAGTGGCAGTTTGCGGTTTCAGATTCGGTTACATTTTTTTTCCTCAAAACACGTCGCTGTGGGCAGAAACGGCCGCCTGTCTTTGGTCACTGAAGCGGTGATGTCACCACCATCATCATCATCACCCCCATCTACTCCACTGTCAACTTCCAACACCCATCAATGTCGACATCACCAGGATCGCAGCCACCACTGCCACCATCACTAACCACCTCCTCTTCCGCAAGCAATTCAATGCAATTCTCGCCGGTTGTGGTTGAATCACTGGACGCGTGGGGCCTGCTTAGCGTTAGCGGAAACTGCGTTTTCTTTTAGAGAACATTTGGTTCCAACATAAAGCAGTGGAAGCCAAGGTCCTGCCAACACTTTCAGAAACGTTCGTTCAGGCGGTAGAAACACCGAAACTTTACTTTGTCCGCGGCGCTGCCTTGACCGGTTACCCGGAAGCGTTTCTGTGAAAGAGCAGCTCCTGCTCGGAGTGCCTTTGGGAGAAATCGCAGATGCCACTCATTGGTAACCGCGACCCGTGTCCTTAGAAAAAAGAAAAACGCGAGAGCTCCGTGAGATAAAAGTGCGGAGCTCAGGCCCACCCCTCTCGAGGAGCATCGAGTCATCCGTCTGTCCCCAACCAAAACGAGAGGTCAGATCGAGAACTTTTAAAGACAACAGTTTTTTTATATTCAACGTGACTTTACCGAAAAAAACTAAGAATATGAATTACTGCAGTCACGAAAGCTTTAAATCAAAACAGTTTTTTTTGTTTGTTTCCCGCAACCCCCCCCCCCCCCCCCCCCCCCAGGAAAGCCTGAGTCTCAAAGACTCCGGTCATCCTCGGAACAGCGGCGGCTCTTGGCTAACCATTGAAATAAAAGACGGTCACCGCATCGCGCGCTTTCAGATGCGCTTCTGCGGCCGTCTGGAACGCTCTTCCTTCCTATATTAGGGGCCACTGGAGCTGTGCACATTGAAATCATCTAGATTCTAGATTGACACTCATTCCTTTAGAAATGCTTTTTGTGCTTACGTTTTTTTGTCTTTCCCCCGCACGGTTGGCTACGTACGGTGCAAAATAAGTTCAACATACATAGACATACACTTTTTTTCAGCACGGTTCTGTCAAGTTTTTTTTGCAGAAAGGGGGGGGGCGATGTTGCCTGGCAGTGAATATGCAGGCAATGCTTCAGTATTGGGTGGGATGTTTGGCCGATATCGGTTGCATTGATCATTTACTTTTCGCGATGGGAAGGGCGGGAAATCGGAGAACGAGGAGGAGGAAACCCACGCAGAGCAGTGGGGGAAGAGAAGAATGTACAAACCCCACGCGGGAAGGCGCACCGAGACGACTATCGAACCCAGGCCCCTTTACCGACGCGAGGCTGCGAGCGTTCACAACGCGTTCACCACCACCACCAGGCTCGAGTCGGCAGCGAGAACGCAGGGCCAAACAAGGCATCGTGAGACCCCCAAAGTCGAGGGGCGCTGGGTGTGGACACGTCGGCTGGGAGAGTTCGCGATGCACTGGTGCGGATTGATATCGATTGTCTTAAGCTCACGACGTTTCGTTTGTCTGCAACGG